CTCAGAACCAGGAATTCATCAAAGTGCATCTGACCCTGCCAGGAGGATTCAGAGAAGGCGCTTCTCCCAAACTCTTCTGAAGGCAGAGTGCTTTCTTGAGAAGCTTCTTCCAGGATTCATGGGCCATGCAGTGCATTTTGAGAAAAATGGGACTGCCCCAACTCTTTATTTATTTATGGCTACACTGGGTCTTTGTTGCACACAGGCTTTCTCTAGTTGCAGAGAGTGGGGCTACCCCCTAGTTGAGGTGAGCAGGCTTCTCATTGCCGTGACTTCTCTTGTTGCAGAGCACAAGACTCTAGAGCACAGGTTCAATAGTTGTGATGAGTGGGCTTATTTACTCTGCTGCATGTGGGATCTTCCCGGACCAGGGATTGAACCTGTGTCCCCTGCATTGGCAGGTGGATTCTTAACCACTGGACCACCAGGGAAATCTTAGCCCAAGTTCTTGTAGCAGGCACTGACAATGCCTTGTCAGGCTGCACCTCCTCACCATTTCGGGGTGCAGTTGCCCACGCATCTGCCAGAACCTGCCTTCCTCTGCTCCAGGCTTGCTGGGGCCATGGAGCCCACCGTGTCTGTATGGGTGGGAGGCCAGAAGTTCTAGAGAATAAACAGCCCCAGCTCCTCCTGAAACTGCCCTCAGTGGTAACTCGTGGGAGATGTTGTCAAACACTGCAGCTCCCTCCCAGGGCAGCATGGCTCACACCCACCCACTTCACTAGGCTCCCAGCCTGCCCCCGCTCCTCTCCTCACCGGGCTGTTGCCTGCAGGGGTAGCTGGCTCTTTCATGCACCCTTTCTTAGCTGCCATCTCTTTCCTATCTCACTTTCCTGTCATTGTTTTTGGGACCACTTCCCAAATAAACTATTTCACTGGGACCCTTGTCTCAAGGACTGCTTCTGACCCTAAATCAAGAGAGCTGTTACCTCCTGATGGCCTTTTTTCTTTTAATTTATTATTGTTTTTTTTAATGTTTAATTTTATGGTGGTGGTGGTTTAGTCACTAAACCACCATGTCTGACTCTTGCAACCCCAAGGACTGTAGCCTGCCTGGCCCCTCTGTCCATGGGATTTTCCAGGCAAGAATACTGGAGTGGGTTGCCATTCCCTTCTCCAGTGGATCTTATATATTTCCCTGATGGTCTGGACTTCCCTGAAGACTTTTAATTATATTTATTTTATATTTACTTGGCTGTGCTGGACCTTAGTTGCGGCACGCAGGCTTGTTAATCTTCCTTGTGGCATGAAGGATCTCTAGTTGCAGAACTCTGGGTCTTCCAGTTGAGGCATGGGGAATCTTAGTTGTGGCATGTGGGATCTAGTTCCCTGACCAGGGATCAAACCCAGGCCTTTCTGCATTGGGAGTGTGGAGTCTTAGTCATCAGGGAAGTCTGGACCATCAGGGAAGTCCCCAGTGGCCTTTGAAAGCACCCAGTTGTCTGCCCAGCAATTCCAGAAAACATTCTCTGACTTATCACTAAATCTACCTTTCCTCCAACAACAGAGTTAAAGGAAAACAAAATTTATTTCTGCTTCCCAGCTTTCAGGTCTCTACCTCCTGACTCCCTCCACGGTGTGAAGTGAGAACCCTAGCCCCAGCACTGCAGACCTCCTGGCCTTGACTGTCTGTTCTTCCCGGTTAACCCACTGGTGGAAGCAAAGCCACATTCTCTTGCTGATCCAAGAAACATCAATGGGAAGCTGCTTGGTCCCTCCAGGAACAGCCACCCCCCACCCCCCACAATCCATCAAGGCAAGGACCAGAGACACCTTGGACTTTCCTGAGCCTCACAGCCCATGGCCAACCCATCACCACATCCCTTGCTTCTGCCCCTCAAACACTTCCGGTTCTACCTCCTCTCTCCACTATGCCTGCCACTTCTTCGGCTGGCCAGCCCATTTCTCTTGTAGATGAATCCAGCAGCCACCTCACTTATCCCACTTCAGGGCCCTGCCTTCGCTGGTCCTAAGGCCTGGAGCGCCATATGCAACTCACCTACTTGGCACAGACAGACCAGCACCTCTCAGCCTCCTGTTCTCTGCCTCCTAAAGCTGCCCTACTTTCCTGCCCCCATCCATTCCCCCCTTAAGCCTAGGTCTCTTTTCTTATTACAAAATCATTCATACATGCAAACACTTAAGAGAATCATCTATCGTACACCTGTGTATCCAACCTTGCTTAAAAACAAGACATTATACATATCATGGAGACCTTCTTGAACCTCTTCCCACACACCCTCCCCCTCTGGCCTGTGGTAACCACTCGCCTGAGTTTGGCATTCCTCATTCCTTTGCCTACCTTTTATTTTTTGACTGGGCTGAATAGCTTGTGGGAGCTCAGTTCCCTGACCAGGGATTGAACCCAGGCCCACAGCAGTGAATGTATGGAACCTTAACCACTGGACACCCGAGAATTCCCTTGTTTGCCTATCTTGGTATCTTTGCATATATGTGTATCCCTGGACAACATATACAGATCTTCCATGTTTCATTTTTAAGTTTATATAAATAAAACAATTTGTTTTCCTTTGCCCACTCCACATCCTGTTGGTGATATTCATTGGAGTTGACAGGTGTTGCTCCAATCCAGTTTTCTCTGCGGGTGGGTTTCCACTGCACCTCCGCTGTCCACTCCCCCAGTGACGGCATCTGCCGTGTCCACTGTGGGCCATTACAATCTGCCCTGAGCCCCTGGGGCCCACTCCCTTAGCCCACGTGCTGGTTTGTCCAGGTTTATACCCAGGGATTTGCTAGGCAAAGGGACACACCGTCTTCAGCTTGACAGATACTGCTAGATGACCCTCAGGGTGATCGCACCAACATAACCTTTTGGTAAACTCTTTCTGTGCCCAGGCAGGAAGGTGCCTCTGCCCTTTAACGGCATTTGGAATTATTTCAGGTTTGGGTTGTTTTATTTATTTATTTATTTGGCTGTGCCACATGGCATGTGGGATGTTAGTTCCCAAACAGCTTGCAGTTATCTTAGTCCCTAGACCAAGGGATCAAACCCACACCCCCTGCAGTGGAAATCCAGTCTTAACCAGTGGCCTGCCAGGGAAGTCCCCCTCTGCCTTTTAACTACCTCCAAACAAAATGACTTAATGCCACCTGCTGACATCTAGCTTGTCAAGCCCCTCCCCAGACCTCCTTCCCCCACTTTTATAACAGGCCTCTCACAACCTGCCCACCTGGGGCAGCCAGCAGCTAGTATAACACCCAGAGCAAAGGTGTTGCCAGCAATGATTCTGAAGACCAACAGGGAAACATCTCACCCTAGATTTGCCATTCTGGCTGTGTGCCTCTGGGCAAACCACTTTTCCTCTCTGAGCCTGCATTTTCTCACCTGCAAAATGGGGATAGAGGATAGGCACATTCACTGACAACAGGGGCATAATGATGGTAAAGTAAGCCTGGAGATGCGACAGGCGCTCCATAGAGGAGCTGTGACTATCACCTTGGGAGCCCGCAGCTTTGCAGAGGATGCCAATGACTCTGCATCTCACTCAGGCCTACTCTGGTTGTGTGAGACAGAAACCCCCCATCAAGCCGGTTGAAGGAAACTGGTCATTTATTGGCCCAAGTAACTGGCAGTCAGAGGGGGCATCCTGCTTCAGCTCTGACTGAGTCCAAGCATTCTGACGCCACCAGGAAGCCAGCCCTGCCCACCTCCAGGCCGTCTCTCCCCTCCACGCTGGCTTCGTTCTCAAGAGACTCTCCAGGTGGGGGGCTCCAGGGCCATGTTCTCCCTGCTCCGCGACTGCCATGAACAAGAAAGCTTCTCCTTCCTGATGCTTCCCGCCCACATCCAGCGTTGGGCCTCACTCTGGCCAGGTTGTCACATGCTTGCGCAGGGAAGCCAGTCACAACAACCAGGGTATCCATCAGACCCTGCGGCTCGGAATGGGGTCTCAGAACAGCAGTCGTAGAACCACCGCGTGGGAGCTCCTTAGGAATGCAGAGTCCATCCAGTCTCCATCCCAGATCGACTGAATCTGAATCTGCATTTTAGCAAAACCCCCAGAGTCATTTGTACATCCAAGCCTGAAGACGACTGTGCTGCCCGTTAACATTTTCAGTCGCTTAGACAATTTTTTAAAGTTCTGTTTTATTAAGAACCACAAAAATTAAGAATTAAGAAGGTCCTCTGAGGTCAGCGGGTCAACTCCTCTGTTTTAAAGATGGGGAAACTGGGAGCCAGCGGGGAAGGTCTTACTCCAGATGCCCATCCAGTGCTTCCCCACACCCCCTTCTCCCATCATCACAGCCGTCGCCTGCCACTTCCAAGGACTATCTTGTGGGGAGACGTGTCCGAGCCCCAGGAGTGCCAGCCGGGGTCAGAAACGGCCTCACTCAGAAGGCGACATATCCCAGGCTTCATGCAGTCACACATACCTGGTCGGGACCCTTGGGAGCATGAAGGGCCTGTGAGAATGGAGATCCAGAAACACACATGCATTCACACAACCACACAAGTCTTCAGACACAGCCCACTCTCACCCTGACTCCGACCCACTGGCCAGCCAAAGCCAAGAGTACTGCAGACCGCACCAGCCTTTATTCTCTGACAGAGCAGGGCTGGGGCCAGGGTGGTTCATTCTCAGGCTGCGTCAGAAGGTGCAGAGTTTAGGGGCCACAGAGACAGGACCCCAAAGTGACAATAAGTTAGGGGGAAATTTTCTCAGGCTTTTGTCAGGCCGCAGCCGGGGCAGGGTGCCAAGTGGGGCCCCGCAGAGCCACCGCCAGCCGCACAGCTCAGCATTCCCAGGCGAGGCTGGTTCCGGAACCAGCACGGCCGCACGCTGAAAGACAAGAGGACAGGGAGATGGGGAGGGGCTGTGAGTCAGTGGGGAGGTCATCGGTGGGGGTCAGAGGGGGTCCCCAGAGTCAGAGAGAGAGGGCTGAGAGGGTGGGAAGGCGAGGGGAGATAAGGGTCAAGGGCCTACAGGCCCAGGGCAGGGCTGGGGTGGGCGGGCCCTCTCACCAGGCCCTCAGCTCAGCTACAGATTTTCGTAATCTGGAGCTTCCTCGTCCTCCACCTCCTGGGAATTCTGGGTGTCTGTGAGGGAAGGGGAGGCTGCTCTTCAGCTCATAAAGCGAACCCACCCCCATCTCCAAGGCGGCTCCCTCAGGGTCTGCCCCACCTCCCCCACCCCCTCCACACACACACACACAGACACACACCAGGCTTGGTTTTCGCCCCGGGCTGCAGCTCCTGGGACACGTTCACGTATTCCCGGCTCCCATCTGTGGGGACAGGTCAGAAGGAGGGACAGCCACACCCAAAGGGGGACAGGTCACATGGAGGATGAGAGAGCAAGAGGACACCCAGGCAGAGGGTGAGGGAGCCACAGTGGGCAGGGGACTGGAGACACCCACCCCAGGATGGCTTGAGAGTAAGGATGGGGGAGGGGGCAAGAGGGAGAGAGGGAGGGATGGCAGACCCCAGGAGGGCACCAGGAAGGCCCCCCACTCACTCAGAGACGCGTCGGCACTCTCCTCACTCTCAGGAACATTCACGTAATCTTCCCCCGACTCCACTAGAGGAAAAGCATAGGCGCCCCAGGCGCTGTTACCCAGACTCCCCAAATGCAGACACCCAAGACTTCCCACGTAACCAGCTCGAGACTCCTGCACACAGACCACCACCCCCCCACAGAGATCATGCCCACCGTCAGCCCAGACTGGTACAGTGAGGCCGGCCCTGCAACACCCATGGCCATGGAGAGAAGCTGGGCAACTTAAGCAGAACTGATCAGAGGAAACAATTGCGGGAGGAGAGGCACAGACCCCAGCATGGCCCCCCAGGCCGGGGAGCAGGGACACGGAGCAGCTTGGGGCGGTGGGGCTGGGCGACGTGTGTGGAGAAGGAAACAGCACGCGAAGCTGGGTGCTGTCGGGGCGTCATCAGCCCCCTGGCTCCTCCTCCTCAGCCAGGCCTGCCCTGACCCCCGCTCCTGTCCTCGTTCCTTCCTGGTGCCTCGCGCCATCGACGCCATCTTATTCTTACAGGGGCTGACTTATTTTCTCCATGAGGCTGGAGACAGCAGGTTTCGGAGCCAGACTGCCCAGGTTCAAGTCCAGCCTCAGCATTAACTAACCTCTGACGATCTACCTAACCTCTCCGGCCCCAGGTTTCATATAACAGGGTGAGGAATGGTACTCACCGCAGAGGGGTGTTGTAAAAATGGTGAGTTAAATAAAATAAGGTCTGTCATATAGTAAGTGCTGCCAAGACTTCTGTTAAAAACACAAATCATTGTACAGATGGGACAAATGAGAGGCAGGAGGGGAAGGGAGAAGCTCAAAAGCCCCTGGGAAGTGTGAGGTTTAATATTAATAAGTTGGTTGGGAAGATCCCCCAGAGAAGGAAATGGCAACCCACTCTAGGATTCTTGCCTGGGAAATTCAGTGGACAGAGGAGCCTGCCGGGCTACAGTCCATGGGGTTGCAAAAGAATCGGATATGACTTAGCGACTAGACAACGACAACAAACACACATAAAACTCTTAGTAGCGCATGTATTAGGCCCTCAGTACTGTGAGCTGCTTTAATCACAACTCTATCTCATTAGCAGTGATTATTTCAGGGGCAACCAGTAAGTATGATGGATGAATTGTGGTGAGTGGATGAACATGAGTGAGTGAATGAATGAATGAAAATAAGCACTTAGACAGATGGTCTGGGGCCCAAGAGAGAGGCCATGAGTTAGGGATGATCTGGATGGCAAATAAAGCCAGGGTGTGGACATGATGGCACAGAGCAAGCATCGAAGGAAAAGAGTAACGGACACTGAAGATCACAAGACACTGATAAAAGCCTCCAAGAGGCAGGATGAAACCAAAACGAAGAGAGAAAAGTAGCCCAAAGGAAACTGAAACAACACTGGAAGCAGAAGAAAACTTTCCAAAGAAACCCAAAAAAAGACAGCTGATCATCCCTATCCTTCGAGATTTGCAAGATGATATTGCCTTCATGAAACCAGAGAGGAGGATCTGAGAAAGGAATATTCAGAGATGAAGAAAGAGCTTTTGGACAAGAAAGACAAAATAAAAGCTCAGAGTCAAAAGAAGAATAGAGTCAAGGAAATCTTGCAGACAATAAAGGCAAACGACAAAGAGGGAAGAGGAGAGAAAAGAAAAGAAGACCAGAGCCGGAAGTCCCCTAGCTGAAGGACAGGAGGGCTAGAAAGAGAGAAGCGAGAAGATGGAGGGGCGCAAGGATCCAGGAGGAGAGGGAAGACCCGAGGGGCCACAGCACGGAGGGGCAGGGAGTGGTCAGACGGCTGACTCACTGGAGAAGGCGCTGTCTCGGAGGCCGGGTTTGCTGGATGCAGGAGCCGGTGAGATGGCGTTGCCAGTGTTGGTGGCCGGGTCCCTGTCAGGAAGTACCACCCTGCGGGAGTCAAGGGTCGGGTGAGCGGGGAGCCCTGGCCTCGGCCCCCACCTCCCGCCTGGCCACTCACAGGTAGCCCTCGTTGTTATAGTCATCGTCATCTTCGTCCGCATCCTCACAGGCTGCCTCTGGGGGTAACGACACAGGGTCAGCGGAGCCCAGGACGGGTCTCAGCCGCCTCCCAGCCGGGGCCACGGGGGTCCCAGTCACACCCTCGTTCTCGTAGCTGGCCACGCTGTTGGCTGCAGAGAGAGCATGAGAGGGAGACTGAGTCAGCTCGGAGGGGGCCTCTGCCCAGTGGCCCAGCCCTGTGGGTCCGGCTCCATGCTTACCACTGTCTGAGTCCTGCCGGGACGACGCCATACGGTGGGAGCCTCCGAGGGGCTGCGGGGACCTTCTGGGCATCAAAGGTCAGAGGTCATGCTGGGGTAGGGCTCTAGGGGGAGAGGGCTTGCAACAGGGCAAGAGGCCCCCAATTCGAGGAGGTGAGGGGGTCAAAGCGGGGATTTGGCAGGGGGAGGGCTACTTACGGGATGGGGAGCAGGTCTGGTTGGCTCTGGAGCGGGTAGGGAGTGGCAGATGGCCGTGGGACGAGTGTGGCTGAGGACACAGGACCAAGCTGAAGGAAATGACTCCACACCTCACGCCCCTACCCTGGCCAAGGCCTCAAAGGGCAGACTGATCCCTGCCACCCCTGGGGCCCTGGAGAGGCCTGGGAGGGGGGACACCATCTCCCTCCCCACCCCCAGCTCAGGCTATGTGGGAGGCCACAGGGGGGAAACAGAACAAAGGCACGCGCTATCCCAGGCTGGGGACCCTCTCCCCGCACCCAAGGGAAGGGACACTCATGTACTCACGAGGCAGTTTGATCATGATGCTACTTGGGGTCAAACTGGCAGGAGAGACACAGCTCAGGTCAGCAGCTGGGAGAGGCCCTGGACCCCACCCCAGTCCCCCAGGGGCCCAGCCCCACACAGGGCTTTGAGGGAGTCGTATGGGGTCGACAGGGTGGACTCACCTATCGGAGACAGCCGTGTCATATGAGCCTGGGGAAGAGAGGGCCCGTGAGGCAGGAAAAGAGGGTGATGAGGGCAGAGGGTGATGGAGTATGGGGCTCTCAGCGTCTCCGCGTGCAAGAAAGAGTTTCAGACAGTTAAAGACAGGGGAAGGGGTCAGAGAGTGGAGTGAGAATCCCTGGCAGTGTGTCCGGGCATCTGGTCAACCCACCGGCACCCACTCACCTGGCAGCTCCCGGCAGCGCACACACAGAGCCATCAGCAACACGGCCAAGAGAGGCAGCAGCAGGGGCCCCAGCACGTAGACAACCAGGCTGACCGCCTCCATCTGCTTGGACCAAGCCTGGCTGCTCGCTGCACACCCCTCCACACGGAGCAGCAGGGCGACGGCCAGGCCGGGAAGGGTACCGGCCCCTGGCTGGGAGCCTGCTGGAGGGCAGGGGGTCCCTGGATCCCCTCCCCTCGCTGGGCTGAGCGGGCGTCAGCGCTGGCTCTGGAAGACCCTGGACCCCAGGGTGGTCAGGCCAGGGCCTGGGCTGGAGTCTGGGGCACCAGCCACCCCTACACAGACCCTGTGCCCCAGCCCTACCTGCCCCTCGCTCCGCACCCGCCTCTCCTCAGCGCCTGCCTGCCTGTGGCAGGAAGCTGTGGTGAGCGCCGGGTGAGGGCAGGAAATCATCGGGGCTCAGCCGGCTGCACCCGCCCCCTTTCCCACCCCCACCCAGCCAGTGAGGAGGGGGAGGAGGCCGCCTCAGGAGCCACCCTGGGCCCTCCAGAAGGGTCAGCTGGTCTCCCCGGCGAACGGCAACTCATACCCGGGGGAGGAGGGAAAGATGCTTACAGGCCGGCCAGCGGCCGTGGCCTCCGCAGCCGTGGCTCATGGAGGCAGCAAGGACAGAAGCTCCGACACCGCAAATTCTGAGGGGCCCCGGGGTGTGCCCACCCCCACCTCACCCTGGCTGGCCTGCCAAGGAGGGCGGGCTCTAGGGGAGACACGGGCATGACTCACGGTCACACAGAGCCAGCTCACTCCACCCCAATGCTCAGCGGCCCAGAAGGACAGGGCTTTGCCCCAGGGCCCACGGGGGTCACCCGACAGCCCCTGGGACCTTGGGACTACAGAGCGGGCATGCCCCACCATCCAGAGGTCAGAGGTCCCTAACCCAGAGAGACTCCAGCAGGCACTTGGGGTCTGGCTACAAATTTTATTCAGTTACAAATAGCACCGAGCCCCGGGACTGCTCCAGTGGCAGGGGCTCCCCTGTCCCGAGCCCCCAGTGTCCCCACCTGGCCACCCATGTAGTGTGTGGGAGCTGGAATATGGCCCAAGGCCCCTCCCAGAAAAAGGGCTAGCCGAGGAGGTGGGCCCTGGGCACCTCCCGGGGTGGGCCCGGGGCCAGCTGTGATAGGTCTGCAGATAGCAAGCGGTGATCCCTCAGATAAGCACACTGGACACAGGGACCCGGGTGGAGCGTCCTCGCTGGGGCACCACGATCCGGTCATCAGTGGACTCGGTCTCAGGTAACAGACCTGCCGGGGAAGAGAATCAGAGCCAGGGCTGGATGGACAGACAGACACAGGCCCAGGGAGGGGACAGACAAGCAGTGGCATATGGACAGGGCAGCGGAGCCGGGCACACAGCAGGGCATGAGCTCATGGGTCAGGCAACCCCGAAGCCGAGGAAGGGGAGGGCTGAGGACTGACAGTGGCCAGGTACACGGGGCTGGGCGGGCAGACAGATGGACAAGCAGGCAGCATCACGAAGCTAGGCAAGGAGCTGTGGGCAGACAGCGGGGAGGCCAGACAGACCCTGCACGTGCAGCTGAGCCTGCCGGCGGTCGCTCTCAATGAAGATGGCGGTGCCCAGGAAGGCCGCACCCCCGAGCGCCCCCACGAAGGCGCAGAGCATGAGTGAGAACTGCAGGGCCCGGAACTCGGACAAGAAGGAGGGGGGCCAGTCCCGGCGGAGGCGGTCAGAGATCTGCAGGGAGACAAAGACAGAAAAGTCAGGAGAGGGACCTCCCTGTTGGTCCAGTAGCTAAGACTTGGCCTTCCAGTGCAGGGGGCGCAGGTTTGACCCCTGGTTCGGGAGCTAAGAGCCCGCATGCCTCACAGCCAACAAACCAAAACATAAAACAGAAGCAATACTGTAACAAATTCAACAAAGACTTTGCAGAATTTTTCATCAAAAAAATCTTAAAAAAAAAAAAAAGTAGGAAAAGTCAGGAGAAAGTGGCATGGAAAGGAAGCCCCCAAACTCCAGAAGAATGAAGACTTAAGCCAGGACCCCACCAGTGGAAATCTACCAAGACAAATCCTGCCGGCCTAGCTGAGGCTTCAAGGTGAGGGGTGCCTGGCACAGGAACTCGGATGCCTCATTTGGACTGGACCCTCCAATTCGGCCTGTGCTCAGGCCACTGGCGACTGGCTGGTGCCAGGAATGTAGGGTCCCTTGGAGCCCACCCCAGGCCTGGCCAAGAGGTCCTGCTCACCGAACCAATGAGGTACGGGCTCCCAGCATCACCCAGCAGGTGGGACAGTACAATCTGGAAGGCTTCGGCAGTGGAGCGTCGTGTGGGGATCACCACGTACTGGTGGGAGAGAGCAGCAGGAGGCAGAGCGTAAGGACAGGACCGGGGCACACCCCAGGCTGACATCAGGGGAACCCCAGCTCAGAGGTGTGGCTGGGATAAATGGCAGGGCAGGCCCAGACTACAGACCCACTTGGGGCTGGAAGTTAGTCTCAGGGCTAGGTTCTGAAAAAGGGGTGACCATCAAAATTCAAGACAAGTGAGGTTCCCTATGGGGCTTCCCAGGTGGCGCTAGTGGTAAAGAACCCGCCTGCTAATGCAGGAGACATAAGAGACATGAGTTCAATCCCTGAGTCAGGAAGATCCCCTGGTGGAGGGCATGCCAACCCACTCCAGTATTCTTGCCTGGAGAATCCCATGGACAGAGGAGCCTGGAGGGGTACAGTGTCCATAGGGTCACAAAGAACTGGACACGACTGAAGTGACTTAGCACACATGAGGTTTCCTACCCACCGCCCACTCCTATCAGCCACTGGGGTAACCGTGGGCCAGCCACCTACTTACCAGCAGAATATCAGCCACGATGGCCCAGTTCATGGACAACAGTGTCTCTCCAATAAAAATGAAAATCTGGAGGATGGGAGGTAGGTGGTGAAGGACGGGGCATGGGATGGGTCTCACCACAACATGAGCAAACACGTGGCAGGCTCACCAGGTACCAGGCCCCTCTATTAATTCCTTTGACCCTCACAACACCCCCAGGAGACAGGTGCTACAATCATCCCCATTTTACAGAAGAGCAAACGCGAGGAGGGCTCACCAGGTGCCAAGCCCCTCTGTCAACTCCTTTAATCCTCACAACACCCCCAGGAGACAGGTGCTACTGGCATTCCCATTTTACAGCAGCTGACACTGAGCACAGAGAGGTTAAGTCACTTGCCCAGTCACACAGCTAAGAACAGCCAGAGCCGAGATGCAAACCCCAGCATTCCCATTCCAGAGTCGGCTCGGACCCCAATCCTGCCCCCCAGTGCACCATCCTTCCACCCTGGACCCAGACCACCCCCCTAGACACCTGCTGGCTACTCACGTAGGTGGCCACAATGCTGCCACGGGCGCAGGCGAGGGACAGGAAGAGGAAGGGTGCAGAGCCCAGGAGGCCAGCAGCACAAACCAGTGGGTCAGCCCGGGGGTTGGAGCGGCGGAGGCGGCGGCTGATCTCCACGCCGAGGCCCACACCCAGGACCCCGGTGAGGCAGGTGATGAGTCCAAAGATGAGACTAGGGGAGGGAGAGGGAAAGAGGGGCTAGTCCTTCTGCCTGCAAAGCCCCCTAGCCTCACCCTCAAGGCCCAGAGAGGAAGACGGTCCATCCCAGCCACGCTCACAACCCAGGCCTATCCAGGTACAGCATCCCAGAGTTCACAAAGCTCCGAGAGGAAGGCACCTACTCCCAGACCAGGAAACTGAGACTCTGGGAGAGGAAGCAGCTGTGGAGTCAGGATTCAGACTGTGCTTGCCTGAGGCTGAATCACAGACCCTCTCCACTTCATCCCCTGCCACCTGCAAGGCCCCCCAGCCTAGTCCCCATCCCGGTACCTGTCAGAGGAAGAGCAGGAGTCTCCAGGAAGGCAGGGGGGGGTCTCCCCCAAGACCACACGGGAACGCAGCAAGAAAGCAGGGGCCCAAAGAGCCAGGGAGCCCGTGACGAAGGCCACAGCAGTGAAACCAAGGGAAGACAGGATGAAACTGGGACTGGACACAATGAGGAGGGAGGAAGTTAGACTCCACCGAGGTATCGGGGTCAGAGAGACCTCTGTTCTTCCTCTCTGGCTTATCTGAATTGTCTGGGCACTGGATGTAAAGGTTGTCCCTGCTCTGAGGATCTGGGCCTGTAACTTAAGCAGCTGCCACAAAGGGGCCATGGCGATAGCACTCCTTGCCTTGGGGATGGGGTCAGCTGACAGAACACAGCAAAGACCACACCCATGTAAATCTCAAAACAGACCCCAGGGCCTCCCTGGGGGCCTCAGATGTTAGGTTAGGAGGGAACTAAACTCAGACCAAACCAGTCAGTTTCCAGTAAAGGAAATCAGTCCTGAACATTCACTGGAAGGACTGATGCTGAAGTTGAAACTCCAATACTTTGGCCACCTGATTTAAAGAACCGACTCACTGGGAAAGACCCTGATGCTGGGAAAGACTGAAGGCAGGAGGAGAAGGGGACGACAGAGAATGAGATGGTTGGATGGCATCATTGACTCGATGGACATGGGTTTGATCAAGCTCCAGAAGTTGGTGATGGACAGGGAGGCCTGGCGTGCTGTAGTCCATGGGGTCACAAAGAGTCAGACACGACTGAGCGACTGAACTGAAACTCACTTTCTTGCCAGAGCCCTCAGATCTGCCCACCACGAGGTGGGGTTCAGGGGTGGTGAGTCTGAGTGGCGCTCTACAGCTCCCCTCGGTGGCTCCCGTACTACCAGGAACAGCAGCGCAACAGCCAACACTCCCAGGCCTGGCGTCACCTGGGGAAAGAGTGGGCTTCAGGAAGGGAACAGACTGGGAGGTACTCAGCCCTGGGGAATGAGAAAACATAAAGGCTGTATAAAGACAATTCAGCGCCCGAGACCTCAAACAACCAGTGAGTGCTTGCTCAAGGAAGTTAAACCTGTGACTGAGGGGCGGGATGACTGTCACTGTCAATGGATCCCCTTTCTGCAAGCCTAACTGCTCCCTCCTTGGCAACAACGGACTTTCCCTAACTTTCTTTTGGGAAACCACTCCCTACATCTCTCTCAACTCATTCGGTTCAAAGAGGGTGGCGCTTGAAACCCAGACTTAGCCAACAAGAGTCACATTAACCTCCCAGGCCTTCCTTGGTGGCTGATTCAGTGGAAGGCATGTGACCTGCATTCATTTAATCAGACACCATCCAGGACTACTGCTCAAGGATCCAGGCTGCTAAAGTTTCTAAATGGGAAGATAAACATGTGGAGCTTTCATTTGCTTGAGAATGAAGATAACACGGGGGAAAGTAGAGCTGAGAAAAAAGATGAGCAAATTCCTGGGACAGTGTGGGTGTCCTGGATCCAGCTTTACCTGAAGCTCACCCTGGGACCTTCCATTATGGAGCCAATACAGTCCCATTTGGGGGCTTACAGTTTACAATGGCTTAAACCAAGAGTTTTATCTAGCATGTGGCTTCATGGTGAGAGCAGCTAGGTTTCCTGCAGGCTTAGCAGAGTGAGCAATGACTTAAAAGGGGAGTGCCTGAAGGTAAAAAACGGTGAACCAGTGAGCATACTGCTGACCTCCCAGGCTGTAACCCAACTCACCCGCAGAGCCCAGTGCCAGTCTCCGGCCACATCCTTCACTTTGGAGCCTGCAATGTAACCCAGACCACTGGGGAAAGAGTCGGGGAGGAGATAGCTGGTCAGTCACGTCCCAGGTGAGGCCCTCCTGCCTACCTGTCAGGCTCGAGGTCCACTCACCTGCCCACCGGGATGGCAAAGTAGAAGACACTGAGCATCCGACTCCGCTGGTCTGCCACGAAGAGGTCAGCGATGAGGGTGGGCGCGATGGTGGAGTAACTGGCCTCCCCAACCCCCACCAGGCCCCGGGTCAGGAGGAGCAGCCAGAATCGCTGGGGAATGAGATATGGGGGAGGTGGCACCCCACCCTGCGGCCAGCCTCCCCGCCAATCTCACCAGCCCACTCTGGGGAGGTGGCGGGGATGGCAGGAGAGGCCTGGGTTTCAGAAGCAAACAGACCTGAGCTTGAATCCTGGCTCCACTACTTACTAGCTGTGACTTTGAGAAAGCAACTTAACCTCTCTGAGCCTCAGTTTCCTTATCTGTAAAAGGGGATAATAACAACAACTTGTTCACATAACTACTGTGAGAACTGGACCACGAAAGGTCTATTCATTACTTTGCACCTACTGGTGCAAAATAAATCTTGATTTCGATCTCGTCCACCCATCCAAGACACCCCAGTAGTGAATAATGATCTTAGGTGGGGGTTTATTTGTCTGCCAAAGACACCAAAAGCCGACAAGCCACGATCACCAAAGGAGAGGACGTAGTGTCCAGGGCTGAGGAGACAGAGTCCCAGGGCAGAGAGAGTGAACAGACAGAGAATTCAAAGGAATAAAGAAGCAACAGCCAGGGAGGCGGGGCAAAAACCAGAAGAGGGGAGTCGGAGAAGTGAGAAGAGTTTCCGGAAGGAAGAAGTGGGTCAACAGAGCCAGAGGCTCCCGGGAGATTAAGGGAGAACAGGCCTAGGAAGTTGGGAGCTACAGTCAGCAACTGAGAGGGCCCTGTTGACTTTGGCGATGGAGTGGTGGGGGCAGGTAAGCCAGCGGTGCTCAAGGCAGGAGTGGGAGGAGAGGAAGTACAGGCGAAGCAGAGCCTTTGACCGGTTGCCCCTTCACCCGGACTGGAGTTGGGGTATGGGAGCCTTTGGGGAAGTCTGGCTAGGAAAAGGAAGACAAAAAGAGGGCAGTCCGGGTACAGTTTTTCCCATGGCAGAGGAATGGGAGTGTTTGGTGTGCAGTGGAAGGGGTCAATGGCCAGTCAAAGGGACAGAAGGTTCTGGAAGAACAGGGGAGAGGACGGGGTGGGCAGATGATTCAGGCAGGCAAGGGATAAAAGATGGTATGGACCAAGGGAGGCACACAGCTCCCCAGGCCCAGTCTGCAGTGACTCCAAAGAGCAGCCGCAAAGACTGATGGGAGGGCTGGGGCAGGGGGCGGGAGTGGGGGGCGGAAGCAGGAACCAGCATGGGACCTCACCTCTCTGGGGATGAAGGACGACCCCAGTGTCACCAGAGACCAGAAGGCAATGCCCCCGCACATGAGATACTTCCGATTGTACCTGTCACCCAGGTAGCCAAACACAGGTGCCAACACCATGTAACTGGAGATGAACACTGGGGGGAAGCAGAGAGTCACAGCCCAGCCTCAGTACCCCTACCCCACCCTCCACCCCAGCTCAGGGAGTATGAAGAGGGGTAGAATAACTCCCAATCCTGAAACCATCACAGCTTCCTTCCGGGGTATGGATGGATTGGGGTGGGGGGAGTAGTCGTCCAGCCCCACATGAAATGTCTTTCAAATCTTCCACTGTAGAATGGATGGCCCAGCTGACTTATCCTACCCTCCAAACTCTGGCCAGAAATCTTATCTAATCCAGCCCCTCCCCACCTCTCCAACCTCACGCTTATCCACATTTCCACTCTGCACCCCAATGGCCCAACTGCCAAGTTCAATACCAACTTAAGACTTTTGTATAGAAGGCTATGGAGATGCTGTCCTCTCCATCTCAAACAATCTCTCCTCTCCCCTGAGCTTCACAGACCTCAGCTCCTTTACCTTCGGCTCAGAAACCTTCCCAACCACCACATATCCAATCTTTCTCTATCTCATCTACTCTGTCTTCTTTGACATAGCAGTTATTCCTATAGAATACTATCTCATTATTAGTTTAGGGACTGTTGCCCCCTCATGCACAGCAAAACGTTAGCTCCAGGAAGAAAAAGACCTTGCCTGTATTGGGCATGACTGTGTTTCCAGCCCTTAACACAATGCCTGGCACAAAACAGGTGTGGAGAAAGACCTGTTTCTTCTCTAACTCAACAACTCTTTGGAGCTGGGCAGAACTGGACCTGTGATCCCATTCTCATTCCATCCAACTTTAACTTAAATAGCTCCATTTCCTTAGTGGCCTGGAGTGGAGCAGAGAACACTGCAAGACCTTGTTTCAAGCTCCTCTTCTGCCTCAAACTCGCTGTATGACCCTAGGCAGGTCTTAACTTTTCTCCAAGCCTCCGTTTCTTTTTAAAAGTATAGCTTTAAAAATATTTTTTCTTTATAAAAATATAGCCTCAGTTTCTTTATAAAAATACTACTTCCTTTATAAAATAAGAATAATAACCCAGATTCTTTGGCTGATAAAAGGATTAGAAGACAATGAGAGTAAGAGGTCTTGCCATGCTCTTTGGGTGTTATCGGCACTCCCTCCACAGCCTGCACAAGCAGGTGCTCAGAAATGAATGAAGGAGGGAAGGAAGGGAAAGAGGAGCTGGTCTTGGCTTTGTCTCTCCCATAAATCCCAAAGTTCTGAACAAGTAACACTCACCTCTTCCCCTTCTAGATACCTCCCTCTTCTGCCACTATTTACTGGGTGCAACACTGCACAATCCACTTCACAAGCACTACCTCATTTAATCCCCACATCAGCCCTAGGAGCTGAGTCTAGTTATTAAGTTCCATCTCACCCACAAGGAAAGTGAGGCTTGGAGAAACAGGGCCTTACCTACCATCACATTCAGTGAAAAGCTGATGTTTAAACCCATGTCGGCCTAAATATCATTACACTAAACTGACTCCCTCTTGAAATCTCTTTAAATGTGGTGTCCTATTCAAACAGGACAGCTTCAGGGTAGAGTCGAGGCCATCTCCCCTAGCTCTGGCCACAGTACCTCCCAAAAATGAGGCCCCAGGCAGGCCAGCATGTGGCTTCAAGGAGGGCAGGACAGAAAGAAGAGCCGCTATGCGTGCCCAGCCTCCACTTACCGGTCTGGATGAGGCCGGAGCTACCGTCTCCGATGTCGAAGAACTGCTCAATGTCCGGAAGGACGCCTGGGAAGGAGAAGACTCAGGATGGGCCGTCCGAGGCAGCCCCACTCAGGACCCCGCTCCCTTCCCCTCTTCAAACTTTCTCCCAGAAGTCAGTACCAGCCACGGTGAAGCGGTCCATGTAGTTGAGGAGGTTGATGTAACACAGCACGGCCACTATGAGAGCCGAACGGCCCGAAGACAAGCCCGTGATGCGCTGCAGTCCTTCCTGGTCCGGGACCTCGGGATCCTCGGACTTCGGATTCCCCATGGACCCCGGCAACCCTGGGGTGCCGGGCGCCGGCCCGTCGTCCGTGTCATCCGCCTGGCTGAGGAAGGGCGCGGTGTCGGACCCGGACATGGTCCCGGGGGGCCGCGCCCGCCCGCGCTACGGTCCCACCGACGATCCCACCTGCGAGGGGAGGAGGCTGGAGAAAGGAGGGAACCCAGGCGAGGGTGATGCGCCTGGACACACGAGAGGAGCTTGCCCCGAAGCACAGAGCCAGGGGATGGCGGCCGGGCTCTATCATGCGTCCCCGCGCCGGCGGACACACCGCGCGGAGGGGACCAGTGGAACTCGGGTGAGATCGGAGACAGGAACGGATTGAGGAGGGTTTGTGATCCTCTGCTCCCCGGTTGAGGCCACCCCTCGCCCCGGCTAGGAGCCCACTTGCACTCGCGGTCGTTCAGCCCGGGTGCTGCACCACGGCCACCGCCATGTTGTCTAAGAGCCGGTCATGTGACCCTGGAGCAGGGGCTGGGGCGGGAGACGCCCGGGCGCCCCGACGCGGCTACGGAGGCCGCGCGCGCCCTCGCAGCCTCTCCCGTCAGGTGACTCTGGCCGCTTGCTGGGGTCCTCCGCCGGCTGCGTCCCCGCAATGACCAGCGACCTAAAGGAGTCTGGATGAACTGGTGCAGCGCCTCCCCCTCTGAATCTCTGGCTTCCTTCTCTGCAGCGCTACTGGGCAGACCTCTTATCGGAGGAGATCAAACGAGATAATGGAGCCTTAAAAGGTTCTGGAAATAGTAAACATCTCTCATTTCAGTTCAGTCGCATCCGACTCTTAGCGACCCCATGGACTCTAGACGTGCCAACAAACAACTCTTACTCTCCCCCCCACGGTGTCCAGGTTGGGGCTTTCATACGTGTTGGATGAATGAATGAATGGTGAAGAGCGCGACCCCGTCCCTACTTTTCCAGTTCCCCGACCCAGCTACCGGTAAACCCCTGAACTTTCCCAGCGGATGTTGAAGAAAGCGTCCCCAGGCCCCACCCGCGGCTTCTAGAGCCAGTGTTTCCTCGCCTCCCAGCGAGACCAAGGTCCTTGCGCCCTCAGATGGTCTCACTTGGAATAGGCAGGGGCTAAGGAGACTCCTTTCCAACTCGTGTTGGAGAAGACTCTTGAGAATCCCTTGGACAGCAAGGAAATAAAAGCAGTCAATCCTAAAGGAAATCAACCTTGAATGATCATTGGAAGGACTGATGCTGAAGCTGAAGCTCCAATACTTTGGCCACCTGATGCAAAGAGCTGACTCATTGGGAAAGACCCTGATGCTGGTGGAGATTGAGGGCAGGAGGAGAAGGGGGCAACAGAGGATGAGACGGTTGGATGGCATCATCGACTTAATGGACAGGAGTTTGAGCAAACTCCGGGAGGTAGTGAAGGACAGGGAAGCCTGACGTGCTGCAGTCCATGGGGTCGAAAAGCGTCAGACAACGGCTCGGTGACTGAACAACAGGCCCAAGGAGACTTAAACACAACAGAGCCCTGGCACCAAAAACAGCTTGGTTCTTAAACATCTGCTCACCCCAGTCACCAAGCTACAGTTAATAAACATACACTCTAAGTAAAACTAGTGTTGTTGTTTAGTTACTAAGTTGTGTCCGACTCTTTAGTGACCCCATGAACTGTAGCCAGCCAGGCTCCTCTGTCCATGGGATTTCCCAGGCAAGAATACTGGAATGGCTTGCCATTTCCTTCTCCAGGGGATCTTCCTGACCCAGGGATTGAACTCGAGTCTCCTACATTGTAGGTGGAGTCTCTACCACTTAGCTAGGAAGTTAACACTCATTGAACTGTAGATTTAAAATGAGTAAACACTTGGGCATGTAAATTAAATTCCATTAAGCACCTCTGGACATGAATGAAAATAAAACTTTCTGGTTATAATGACAAATATTTTGATGCTAATTGGTTTTGGCAAATGGGAAAAATATTTGATTCTTCACCACTTGGCCATGGGGTATATTAGTTCCCCAACCAGAGGTTGAACCCATGCCCTGCAGTGGAAGTGAGGAGTACTAATCGCTGGACTGCCAGTGAGTTTCCCCAGGTGTCTTTTAATTTTATGGATGTCTTGATTAAAATTCCTTTAAGGTCAGATAAATAAGATTAAAATTCCTTTAAGGTCAAAAAAATAAATATATCCATACAGGTCTACGGGTTTCAACTGGAGCCCAGATTTTTGCTCTGGAAACTCTGGTTTGTGAAATGTAAGTACATATGGAATTTGGGGCGGGGGGGAAGTTCATCTATGACAAGTGTCAAAAAAGAAGTCCGGCATATGGTATTATAAGGACCTGATAACAGGGGCATTTGACCTGGTCAGGGAAGTTTGACAACCTCTCTGAGGAAGTGGTCCTTGAGCTCTGCAAACAAAATAAGAGCACTTAGCCCTCAAGCCTGGACTTCCCTGTGGCTCAGACAGTAAAAAATCTGGCTGCAATGTGGGAGAGCCGGGTTTGATCCCTGGGTCGGGAAGATCCCCTGGAGAAAGAAATGGCAACCCATTCCAGTATTCTTGCCTGAAAAATCCCATGGACAGAGGAGCCTGGTAGGCTACAGTCCGTGGGGTTACAAAGAATCAGACACCACTGAAGGACTAACACTTTGATTTCACTCTTCAGCCCTCAAGCTTAGAGCCCATGATCTGCAACTAGAGAAATCCCCGTGTGCCTCAACTAGAGAAAAGCCTGTGGGCCACTCCGAAGACCTAGTGCAGCGGGAAAACGTTAAAATTTAAAAAAAGCATTTTGCTCAACATCCTACAAAGATTAACCTGCTGCAGCCGCTGACCAACAGCGCACTTGGTGCTTCAGACAAGAGATTAAGTTGATAATCAGATGAAGCACTTTGCACTCCAGACAGAGGAAATTAAGGATAATAGGATGCTCTGTGATTTGAATAAACAGGCTATTTCAAGAAGAATTTTAATGAACCCTGATTGTTGCATCTTCCCATACATAGAAAAGTATTATAATCATTAATTTGAGAAAACTGTTCTTTGTTTTTTGTTTTTCTTGTTTTCTGTTTTTGTTTGTTTGGGGCCACACCTTGGGGCATGCGGAATCTTAGTTCCCTGACCAGGGATCAAACCCGTGCCCCCTGCAGTGGAAGCATGGAGTCCCAACTGCTGGACCGCCAGGGAAGTCCCTGAGAAATCTGTTCTTTGTGACTGGCAGTAATCTTTTACCAAAAAGTATATTGACAGCTTGTATTTCCTGACCAAAATATGTACATGTAAATTGACCTTGCCTCCTATCTCTTTGGAGCAGTTTCTCAGTAAGTCCCTGAATAAAACCTCAGTTGTTGGGGAGGAGTCAGGCAGCAGAAGAGCATGTGCAAAGGCCCTGTCACAAAAGGAAGCACAATGAACACAGGATCTGAAAGAAGGGCAGTGTGGAGAGCAGTGAGCAGGAGACTGGCTGGGGAGCAGGCAGGGAGCAGGCTGGGCAGGGCTTGGGCCATGTTTAAGCATCTGCTTCATTTTAGGCCACCTCATGCAAAGAGTTGACTCATTGGGAAAGACCCTGATGCTGGGAGGGTTTGGAGGCAGGAGGAGAAGGGGACAACAGAGGATGAGATGGCTGGATGGCATCACCAACTCAATGGACATGAGTTTGAGTAAACTCCAGGAGCTGGTGATGGACAGGGAGGCCTGGCTTGCTGCGATTCATGGGGTCGCAAAGAGTCGGACACGACTGAGCAACTGAACTGAAGTCAGATTTGCATTTGAGAAAATCACTCTGGCTGGATGGGAAGGGTTCAGAGGTGCAGCAATCCGCAGCACTAGACTGCAGGTTGTGATGGCCTGTACCAGGATGAGACAGAGGCAGGGAAGTGAACTGCTTTGGGGACAGTTAAGTTAATCTGGTGATGGAGAAGATATGGGGATGAAAAAGCTGTGTGTGTGTTAGTCACTTAGTTGTATCCGACTCTTTGAGACCCCATGGACTGTATATAGCCCACCAGGCTCCTCTGTCCATGGAATTCTCCAGGCAAGAATACTGGAGTGGGTAGCCATTCCCTTTTCCACGGGATCTTCCTGACCCAGGGATCAAACCCAGTCTCCTGTATTGCAGGCAGATTCTTTACCATCTGAGCGTGGCTCCATGAAAGAGGTATCAAGAATCAAACTTAGAGGGATTTCCCTGACAGTCCAGTGGTTAAGACTTTACAATGCAGGAAGTTGGGGTTCAGTCCCTGGTGGGGGAGCTAATATCCCACATGCCTTGTGGCCAAAAAACCAAAACATAAAACAGAAACAATATTGTAACCAATATAAAGACTTTTTAAATGGTCCATATTTTTTTTTAAATCTTAAAAAAAAAAAAAAGAGTGAAACTTAGGGAATTCCCTGGCAGTCCGGTGATTAAAATTCCTAGGACTCCATGCTTCCACTGCGTTGGGGGCTTGCTTGGTTAAATCCCTAGTTAAGGGAACTAAAATCCCACATACTGTGTAGTACAGCCAAAAAAAAGAGTGAAACTTAGGTTTGGGGCTCATGGATGGTAATGGGATTGAGATGAAGGATTTATTTATTCAACAGACATTTGTTAGGTAACACTATGTGTCAGACACAGAGCTAGGGAATCTTTGGGAAGAAAAAGATACAGTATTTTTCTAAGGAACTTAGTCTAGTAGGGATGGAAGACATAGACTAAGAAAGACAGCTCAGGAGTTTTGAGCTAAATGCTTGGTCCAGGCTAAGATGGGACACACAGGAGAGAACATGTCCAGTCCTGTGGGGGGTTTTATGGAGGGAATGGGAAGGGTGGGGTCATGGGAAGCTTTAAAGTTGTGAAAGTGAAAGTGTTAGTCACTCAGTCATGTCTGACTCTTTGCAACCCCATGGACTGTAGCCTGCCAGGCTCCTCTGTCCATCGGGTTTTGAACACTGGAGTGGGCTGCATTCCCTTCTCCAGGGGCTTCTCCCAAATCAGGGATTGAACCCAAGTCTCCTACATTGCAGGAAGATTCTTTACTGTCTGAGCCACCAGGTCACCTTAAAAATGGGAAGCTATAGCAAAAAAGGAAAATGGCATCTTGCCACTCAGCAGTGTGGCAGCATCTGGGAGCATTGTTAGACATGCAGCATCGGACCTCTCCGGTGGTCCAGTGGTTAACAATACGCCTGCCAATGCCGGGGACACGGGTTCAATCCCTGGTCTAGGAAGATCCCACATGCCGCAGGGCAACTAAACCCACGCGCCTAGAGCCTGTGGCTCTACAAGAGAAGCCACCACAATGAGAAGCCCAAGCACTGCAACAAAAAGTAGCCCCTGCTCACCACAACTAGAGAAGGCGGCATGCTGCGAGACCCAGAACAACAAAAACTAAATAATTTAAAACCAGAAGTGCAGCATTTCGGGCCATGCCCCCGAACTGTGGGTCCCCCATTTCCATCATGACAAGCTCCCCACCTGATCTGTGTGCACAATGAAGTGTGAAAAGCACACAGCTTGTTAACTGAGTCATCAACAGGTCCTCCTGGTTTTCCATCTTGCTCTGCATTCTGTGGCTGTGTGGCCTGGGACAGGTTACTTCATGCAAGCTTCTATTTCTCTTCTGTAAAGTGCGAAGTATCACACCTACCTCCCAGGATCGCCCTGAGGATGAATGTGATTAGGAAAAGTGCCGAGCTTGGTATGTGGTACCAGACTGGGGCTCCTTCAAGTTGTGAAGGTTTCTCATCGGGAGAGTGTTAGAAAGATGTCCTGACAGGTGATCAGTCTGTTTGATTAGAAGGATGAATAATCACTCCCATCAGAGAAGAACTGCAAATCCTTTTACAATGAGGAATCTTTCCTGAATCATTCCCAGATGAAGTGCCGAGAAAGAAAAGAAACCAGAACCTTCTAGTACCTGCTAATGAATTTATCATAAAGAGGTCCAGCCACTTGTACTCAAGTGAAAATGGGTAGGTGCACATTTGAGGGTCTGTGATTCCATTCCTGGATATAAACCCGAGGAAATCGCACTCAGGGTCACTACAACATTGCCTACAATAGCAACATCCTGGGGCTAGGATGGGGTTTGGTTACAAATGACAGAAATCCTCCAAAAGCAGGGATTTTTTTTTTTTTTAATGTCTTGCCACATGGCTTGCAGGATCTTAGTTCCCCAACCAGGGATTGAACCCGGGTTCCAGGAGTGAAAGTGCGGAGTCCTAACCACTGGATTGCGAGAATTCCCATCCAATAGCAGTGATTTAAATAAGACAGAAGTTCCCCTTCCTGCCAAATCCAGAGGTCAGTGGTGTGGGGCTAGTAAGATGCTGTATGGAAGTTGAGACCCAGGTGCCTTCTCTCCATGTCCTGCCCGGCATGGCTTCCTTCCCCAGGGTCACCGTGTGTCCGTAGGGATGCTCCACCTCCAGTCAGCAGCAGAGGGGCACACACTGCCCACTTAGGACTGATCCTGGAAGTCAAACCCCATTCCCCTGTATTGGCATTTGGCCACACTAGGCTACAATGGAGGCTGGCAGGCACTGTCTTCACTCTGTGCTCTGCTAAAAACTGGGGGTCCTGAAGAACAGATGTGAGGGGACAACTGATGGTCTCAGCCACAGGATTCATGGGGGACGGTGGGTCACATGGGGGGGCAGAGACAGAAATCCTCAAATACACACAAGTTTAATGTATTCCCGTTTATTCTGCTGACACTGAACATATCATTTAATGTATTCAGACTTATTAATGAACATATCATACCTGAAAAAATGAGCTATACCATATCATGGATTATTTAAATATTAAAAATTTTCTTTCTATATTTTCCACATTGTAAGTTCAAAGGAATGCTACATTCCAACAACAAAAACCTTTTAAAGAGAGTGATATGCTTTTGCCAGAATCATACCACATATCAGTGGAAAATTCAGGGCTTTATTAGTAGATGGCGCTAAGAAAACTGGCTCATTATACAGTGGAACTAAAACTTGGATCTCATAGACAAAGGTGGATTTTAAATAGCTTAAAAGTAATATTCAACATTTCAGCCTGGCATCAAGCAATGAAAACAAATATTTGACCACGCAGGGCAGATGCCAGCTAGTACACATACCAGCATGTACTGGCTGAACTTCAGCCCAATATTTAGTGGCCTAGATGTGAAAGAAAAGCTAATAAAACTAACAGAAGAAACTGCAAAGTATTGTTAACTATTTTTAAATAAGAAATAACAAATGATATAACAAAATAGCTAATTCACCTACATTAAAATTAAGAATGTCTGTTCAGTGAAGGACACCCCTGGTTATACAAACCCAAGTGCCATCTTCAGAGTTTTTGCAACTTCCCAGGAATATATGAGGAACTTTTGATAGTAAACAAACAAAAAAAAAGGCAAGAAGCCCCCATGAGAAAAGGAACAAAAATAAATTAGCAATTCACAGAAAGGGGCACCAGAAAGGCTGACAGGAAAATGAAGGGATTCCTCAAATTACTGGTGACTAGATGAATGTACATTAAAACGCGGCACCACTTTCCACCCAACAGACTGGCAAAAGTTAGAAAGTTGGGCAGTAATAAATGCTGGTGGGGATGAGCAGAAATAGGAAGCTTTAAGTGGGAGAGTCAAAGGCCATTCTAAAAAAACAACAGAGAAATTAATCTGGCTGATGCATAATCCCATCCTGGATACCTCAGCTGGAGAACTTTCCATAAAGTATGGACAGAGACACAGAAAAAGATGTTCACCATGGCCTTGCATATAGGCCGAGGAGTTGCAGGTAACCCAGGTGTCTACCACTTAGCAAATGTGTAAAAAAATATGCACTTAACACCCACCATGGAATATCTTAGAGCAGCTCAAAGAAATAAAGCTGATGTAGCCTAAGCAACCCATGTTGAGTGAGAAAAGCAATAGGACAAGATCAATAGCATTATACTACATGTGGGCAAAGTATATGAACACATACAGCATAGCACATTCAAGGAAACATTCATATTCAAAGACATGGAATCAACACATTAGAATGGATGCTTACAGGAAAGAATGGCGTGAAGGGAAAAAGTCATAAAACCAAAGAAGCCTTGTGTGGATTGCGATTCTGAGATCAAAACCAAAAGGTTCAAGGTGCTCAATTATGCTTTAAACAACATGTGTGCATCAGGAAGTTGGCTCAAAAGGGTCTTAGGATGAGGAAGACACCCAAGCCTGAGAATCTACTGTATTCTTCAAAACAGTAACCCACTGTCTGCCTCTGGTGAAGCTAATGAATTTGTGAGGTTGATCATCTAGTATCCGGCTGGGCAGAGGGACCATACCCTTGTATGTGCCCTAAGTTAACTTCACCTCCACCCCGCAATGACCCCGAGGCCACGGCTGGTCCTAGATGTGGCAGAAATCTGAGGCCTGGAGTCCCCTACCTAAGCCTTACTCATTTCAACTCACTCTTTCAGTATGAGAAGTTTCATATACGAGACATTTCAGTGAGTGATGGTGGAGGGGTGAAGGTGAGGGATACCTTCTCCATGTCCCAGAGGGCGGTAAAATTCAGGACACCCTGTAGATGGAGCCACAGTCCACCTAAGGCAGCAAAGACCATCACACAATTAAACCAGGTAGTTAACGGCTTGAAACTGGGGTCAAAAGAGAGGGAGTCAAAGATCACTCCTGTATTTTGCTTCAGCTTGAAGATTAATTCTAAGTCAGCTGCAGCTAGCAAGCCCTTACAGGGCCAAAAGGGGGCAGCCCATCCTCCCCAAGTCCAGGCTGGGCCTCCAAACAGGGAGTGGGGTTTCAGCCCCAGACCTCAATGAGGTCCCCAGATTCCATGCCCAGGTCAGCCGGCAGCTCCTTCCCTGAAAGCTTCGTCCCATCAAAGAAGAAGGAGAGCTTGTGGCCGGAGAGTCCCATAGCCTCCTCGTAGCGGGACATGAGGGTCTTGAGAGGAGAATCCTGAGCGGAGAAGAAAAAAACATGGATGTAAGAATCTGAAAAGAGGGACTGAGGAGAACTTGTAGGGACAGACAGAGAGCTTGGGACAGGGAGGACAAGGGAACATGTCAAGTTGGAGCCCACGGAAAGGGACGCAAGTGGACGAAGAAGCCAGCAGCCAGCTGGTTCCTTTCTCTAGGGAGCTGGGCCATGGAGCCCAGGGCTGGGATGTTGGCTCTGGGTTGGATATATTCTCCAAAGCTGGTCTCCTCACCTAACGTGGAGGTGTGAAGCACAAGGAGGAAGCCAGCCAGGCTCTGGAGTGAACATGACCCAAGCTGGGGGCCAGGCGCCGTTATTAAACTAGATGTGTAACCTTAGCCAAGTACTATAGGTTTGAGAGTCCCTTGGACAGCAAGAAGGTCAATCCTAAAGGAAATCAACCCTGAATATCCATTAGAAGGACTGATGCTGAAGCTCTAATACTTTGGCCACCTGATGAGAAGAGCCAACTCATTGGAAAAGACCCTGATGCTGGGAAAGATTCAGGGCAGGAGAAGGGAGCAACAGAGGATGAGATGGTTGGATGGCATCACCAACTCAACAGACATGGGTTTGAGCAAACTCTGGAGATAGTGAAGGACAGGGAAGCCTGGTGTGCTGCAGTCCATGAGGTCCCAAAGATTGGGACACAACTTAGTGACTGAACAACAACAGTGTCCCCCGAAAAACATGTCATGTGGTCCTAACCCTTGGGAAATGTGCATGTGACCTCGTTTGGAAGATATGATCAAGATAAGATGAGGCTGGGACTTCCCTGTGGTCCCGCTGCTAAGACTCCACGCTCCCAACGCAGGGCGCCCAAGTTCAACCCCTCGGTCAGGGAACTGGATGCTACATGTTGCAACTAAAGATCCTGGATGCTGCAACAACTAAGACCCAGTGCAGCTAAATAAATACACATTAAAAAAAAAAATGAGGTCATGGTTGATTATGGTCTGCACTAAGGCAACAGGACTACTGTTCTTGTAAGAAGGAAAAACAAACACACACAGAGATACTCAGGGAGAACGTCCTATGACAAAAGAGGCGGGATGCAGCTGCAAGTCAAGGACTGCTGGCCACCAGCAGAAGGTAGAAGGAAGCAAGGGCCCAGAGTTTCCGAGGGAACATGACCCTGCTGACAACTTGATTTCAAACTGGTAGCTTCCAGTTTGGGAGGCTATACATTGGGAGGCTATACTGGGAGAGAATACATTTCTATTGTTTTAAGCCACCCGGTTTGTAGTAGTTTGTTACAGCAGCTCTCAGGAACAAATACAGCAAGTTATTCTACCTCTACAGATGCTGGTTTCCATATCTGTTAAATGAGGGTAGCAACAGTGCTTTCTCATACAAGACTGCCGTGAATTTCAATAATATCCTGAATGTGAAGTAATTAACCTTACACAGGGACTGTCACTTCAATTGTACTTTTGATTGGTCTTACTGGTTACTATTCACAGGTGATTTCCACTTTAACCAGGAGTCAGGAGACCAGAGCCAGCTTCCCCGAAGAAGGGGGAGGGAACCTGAACACTGAACTTTATACACTCTCTAGGGTGGGCAGGGACCCAAGACCACAGAGGGCAGAGATTCCATCCTCCACCTGCTGACGGGAGACTGCAGAGCACACGGCAAGGGGGTGCTCAGCTCAAGCCGGCTCCCCCACTCACGTGAGGCAGCGAGACTTCCAGCGTCTGGTGCTTCTCTTTGCCCTGGACCCGAAGTTGGAGCAGTTGCGACGTCTCTGCGGCCTCTGGAGAACTTGCTAGAACCACACAGTCTGTGGCAGGCAGGATCAGGAAGCCAGGCCTAAGCGAGGGTTGGAAGCTGGGCCCCCTCTGGGCCTCTCCCCACATCCCCTCCCTGTGGCAAAAGCCTCCTCAGGCCTCCTTCCTCTCACCAATGATGTCAGCCACGCCGAGCTTTAGGGTCTTGGGGGTGGCGGTAGGGGACAGCTCTGTCTCTCCGAATAGCAAGAGGATCCTGCTTGGGGACACCCCAAGGTGGGTGGCCATGTGGTCCACCACACTCTTAAGGGGCTCCGACTAGAAGGGGGACAGAAAGTAAAGGAGGCCTTCCTGCCTTGACTTGCTTCCCCACCCCCACCCCCAATTCTGGCCTTAACTACTAGCTGAATTCCTCAGCAGTGAGTTCCATCATATTTACCTGGAAAGGCACAAAATAAAATCATGTCAATAGGGGTTCAGGCAAGTGACACAAAGACACGAAGCAGCCATGAGTTAGGAGGGGAAAAAAGGGAGTGCTGGGGTTGTGGCCAACCAGAACCAGATATGCCCCATCTAAGCCTGGGCAGCTGTTCCGAAGCTCTGGCTAATTGGTACCAGGTGGGAATATGGGCCAGGTGCTGCATCTTTCTATTTAAGAGAAGCCAGAAATCTGGACCTCAGTACCCAATCACCCATTGCGAAGGTTGGCAATGAACTATTTGGTTTTAAAATCACTGTATAGCTCAAAAGAAGATGCATGGGACTTCCCTGGTGGTCTAGTGGTTAAGATTCCCCGCTCCCAATGCAGAGGACACAGGTTCAGTCCCTGGTTAGGGAACTAAGATCTCGCATGCCAGATGGCATGGACAGAAAAAAAAAAAGAAGATGCGCTGTTGATAAGGCCATGGGCTGCTAGTTGGCAAGTTCTGGCTTAGCTGCTTGTCTGATGCACTGTTACTACTCAATAAATAGTCATTTCCGTTCTTCTTTTGGAATGGGGGTCATCCCTATAATAGTAGTCTTCACCAGGAAGCTAGGGGAGCTTGGAATAACCAAGTGACCCTGGGTGTCCGAGGCAGTAAGAGCAAGCACAGGAGGAAAGTACAGGTTCCCAGGGAAGGAAGGAGGGAGGGGTGCCCCCTGGGGGGCCTACCAAGCAAAGTTTCTTAGGATGTTTTAGTGGAGCCTTGAAGATGGGTGGGAAGTTTGCCAGAAAGAGAGGGCAGAGGGAGGAAAAGATCCAGACAAAGGGAACAGTGAGGCAAAGGTGCACAGGGCTGAAAGCGCGCTGAGCAGCTCCAGACGGCAGGATGGGCAAAGGGAGACACTAGTCTGTCCATGGGCAGCTCCCGGGCCCCTGCTCCCAGACCCTTTGTGCATTTACCATTCTGATGGGCAACCTGACCAGGTCAGCTCGGCAACGGATTTTGAGTGGCAAGAGTCGAGGGTGCTCTGAGAGAGTGGGCTCCTCCACTAGGACCACCTCATCCTCTTGGCTCAGGTGGTCTTGGCCCTGGGATTGCTTGAGACTCAGGCAGGAACGGAGATCTTGGAGACGCTTGTTCACCTCCCTGGGGTGCAGAAAGGACTGTGCCATCAGTCAGGGCGGGCCCCCGCCCTACTGCTCCTTCTCCAATCTAGCCAAAAGCAGAGCACCACCCCTCCCAACCCCTGCCCTTGCTACCTTAACTTCCGGAGTGCCTGAGTATGCTTCTTGCTTTTGGTCCGTGGCAGAGGTGAGGGCAAAGGTGAGGTGTCCTGAGCCCTGCAGACAGAAGAGAGGGACAGAATGGGCAAAGAGATGAAACCCCAGCCCCACCCACACCTCTCCTTCCAGGGGGCCCCTGGGAACCAGCAGGGGACCAGGGGAATCAAGAGGGAGCACTTCTGGTGACATCTATCTTATTGGAAGACTGGTGCGGGGTGGGGGTAGTGGGTGAGGAAGGACAAGGAAAACCTGAGTCATGAATTTTATACTTATATGGCCCAAATATGAGGGAGAATGTCTAACTTTTAAGATAAGTTGCTTTCCAGGTGAATATCTGATAAAATCCAAATGACACCAAACATTTACTATATGCTAAGGGTTAACGCTTCATTTACCCTAAAATTCTGACCCAAGTACCACTATTATCTCCATTTTACAGAAGAGGAAACTAAAGCACAAGAGGATGGCCAGGGAGCCCCTGGTGGCCCAGTGGTTAAAAATCTGCCTTCTAATACAGGGGACGCAAGTTCGACCCCTGGTTGGGGAACTATGATCCCACATGCAACTAAGCCCTTATGCTACAACTAGAGAAGCCTGTACACTGCAATGAAGACCGCTTGCAGCCAAAAAAGAGAAAGAGGTGGCCAAAAGACAGGATGTGAACCATAGGGCAGTCTCCAGAGCCACACCTTTCAGCTCTGCATCACTACCTTCTTAGACACAAAGCTGAAACCCTCCACTTCCTGGCCAGTCTGGAGGGTCTGCTATCATCCTCCAGTGGGACTCACTGCTTCTCCCAAGAGTTTCATTCCTCATCCAAGCCTCAGGATGCCTTCTGGGAAACTTCTCACCCTTCCAGGAGCCACCCAAGGGTCCTGCCCGCCTCAGCCCACCCTTACAATTCCTGTTCTGCTCCTATGGCCCCAGTGGTCTCGCCTCACTCACAGTAACATCTTTTTCTTCTCTTCTCCATCCTTACTCCTCAGCTTCTTCTTCCAGGGAGAACTGGGACATGGGAAATCCACTGTGTGGGGACTGCTGGCATCCTCCACGTCTGCCTCTGGCGACAGAGGAGGAAGAAGTGGAAAGGGTTAGCCAAGAGAAGGCAGTGGGAGACCAAGGAGAGACAAGTCAGGGGCTTCAGAAGATTCTGAAAAAGGAGATTAAGGGGGCCCCAGACACACATGACCACTGGGGAAGGGTTTGAGGGCATGAATCAAGAGAAAAGCCTAGAAGGCTTCCCCAGCAGCACTGCAGTGGTACAGTTAAGACTCTGCCTTCCAATGCAGGGGACATGGGTTTGACCCCTGGTCATGGAATTAAGATCCCACATGCGTGTGGCCAAAAAAAAGGGGGAGCCTTAGAGAGAAGGATGAACTGGAGTCTGACAGGTGAGATTAGGAACGTGTCCACACCTCACACTAGTGCATGACACAGGGGCAAGAGTGGACTAACAGAAAGTGGCTCACCCCAACTAAAGCATGCTCTTCTCATTTTGATCACCTGCACCTCACAAATGAAAAGCACTGCGCACACAACCCGGAAAACGTGTATTTACTTAATATACATGTCCTACTTACTATACGTGTACAAACCACTATATATGTTATGAATCATACATTAAAACAAATGCTACCAAAAGGTGATTTTTTTTTTCCCCCAACTATTTCTCTTGTTTTCTGCCCCTACTCAATTTGGTGGGCACAAAGAAGACATGTCTGGGGCGGGGGCAGGAAGGGTCTTTGGTAAAGAGGTTAAGTACAGGCCCTCTAAGCCCAGGCTTCTCAAATGTCATCCATGTGAGTGTCATCGTTGTATTCTGCCATATCTTCATATTACGTGATATGTTTCTTTAAATCACTCATCTTCACCTAAATGTCTTAGAAAAGGAAACCAGGTATTATTCTAGACCACAGAAGCTCTTTTCTGTTTGCCTGCCACCAGATCATCATCAACCACCGTTATTTATTTTTATAAATAAATACCGTGAATACAAAACAATGATAATATATCCTAGATCAGTGGTTCTCAACCAGAGGCAATTTTGCCTCCCGGGGGACATGTGGCCATGTCTGGAGACAATTTTGGCTGTCGCAACAAGGGAAAGAAGGGGTTGAGGGTGATGATGATGTCTGCTGGGTGGAGGCCAGGATGCTGCTCCACGCCCCGCAGGGCACAGGACAGCCCCACACAAAGGATCCAGTCCAAATGCCAGTAACACCAAGGGTGAGAAACCCTGTCCTAGGAGCTGCCAATGGCCTGAGACTCTGCATGGCTAACAAGCTCCTGGGACATACCCAACACTCCGGGGCCCACATTTTTTTTTTAATTTTAAAGATTGTTTTTATATGGACCATTTTAAAAGTCTTAACTGAATTTGATACCATATCACTTCTGTTTTATGCTTTGGTTTTTCCCATGTAGGGCATACGGGATCTTAGCTCCCAGATCAGGGATTCAACCTGCACCCCCAGCATTGGAAGGTGAAATCCCAAGCACTGGACCACCAGGGAAGTCCCTGGGCCCTTCATTTTGAGTGGCAAGGACAGAGGTGCCTTGGTACTTCTCTGTTCCAGGTACTATATATGTAAACCATATATGCAGCGCAACGTAGGAGGGGGGACATTCTATTAATACATATTCTCTTTAACTGGGCTTCCCTGGTGGTGGCTCAGCTGGTAAAGAATTCACCTGCAATGCGGGAGACCTGGGTTCGATCCCTGGGTTGGGAAGATCTCTGGAAAAGGGAACAGCTACCGATTCCAATATTCTGGCCTGGAGAATTCCATGGACTGTAGAGTCCGTGGGGTGGCAAAGAGTCGGATATGACTGAGCGACTTTCACATACATATATGGTTCCAAGTACCATATGTGTAAACCATATATGTAGCCCAAGGGGGGAGGGCTTTCTATTAATATATATTCTCTTTAATTAATTCCCACCAAAATCCTTTGACACAGGTCCTTTATTTATCCCCATTTGGCTGATAAGGGAATTGAAGCCTTAAAAGATTAACTTGCCCAAGGTCACACAGCTACTAAGGGGGACAGCTGGTTCCTAAATCAGCTCTTCACCACCCTGCCATACTCCCTCATGGCACAAAAGTCTTAGTCCAAGTGCATTTGCCCACTGGATCTCTTCTCTATTAGACCTGATTTCTATTCACTGCCCTTGAGAAGTTTGCAACAAATCACGTCACTGCGGGAGGACAAAGGCTGGGCAGCCCTGATAAGACTCAGAGAATACCCTGTTGGCTCAGAGTGTTCCCAGGAAACTTGCTGCAGATGTAAAAAGATGTTACAAATTCTCAACACGTCTCCCTTCCACTGCTCCCAAGGTTACACAATCAGAGTCTCTGGGGATGACACCTGGAAACTTGTATATTACACTTCCCTGGTGGTCCAATGGCTAAGACTCCGGTGCTTTCACTGCTGTGGGTCCAGGTTCAATTCCTGGTCAGGAAACTAAGATCCCACAAGCCACGCAGTGTGGCCAAAAAAAAAAAAAAGCCTAGCACATTCTGATTCTTATTAGAGCTGGGGGAAGGGAGTCTGGACAACACTTTCTGTGCCTTCTGGTTAACAAGCCAGCTCGTTTCAGGACTGGAGGTTTTTCTGGCTAGGAGGCAGAAGTCACCTCTCATGTCCTCCCCCTGAGCCTCAGGAAACAACTAATTGCAGGAATGCAAACTCCAGAAGGTCTTCTCAGAGAGGCCAGCTCTGGACACCTCTCCCTAGAAGCCCTCCTTACCTTCCTCAGCCTCTGGGGGACATAATTTCAGGAGGGACACGTTATCTGGGATAAGGTGGAGGCTGCTTTTCACCTGCAAAGAAAGAGTAGATCAATACCAAATGCTCCCTTCACTTAAAGAGAAAACTGGGGTCGATTCTCTCACGCCCAGCCTCCTCCAGGTCCCAAGTCCACCCTGAGGATGTAGATATTACCACTGTCCCACAGGGACTCAGGAGCTCAGCTTCCCCAGGATCCAAAATTGGAGTACTCTACCATATGATATTACTTGTATGTGGAATCTAAAATATGACATAAACGAACCCATCTAGGAAGCAGAAACTTAAGAGAACAGACTTGTGGTTGCCAAGCAGGGAGATGGCGGAAGTTGTGGGAGTGGGAGATGGACTGGGAGTTTGAAGTTAGTAGATGCAAACTATTACATATAGAATGGATGGACAACAGGTCCTACTGTATAGCACAGTGTCAATGTCCTAGGATAAACCATAATGGAAAAGAATATATATATACATAACCTCAGATATGCAGATGATACCACCCTTATGGCAGAAAACGAAGAAGAACTAAAGAGCCTCTTGATTAAAGTGAAGGAGGAGAGTGAAAAAGTTGGCTTAAAGCTCAACATTCAGAAACTAAGCATCTGGTCCCATCACTTCATGTGAAATAGATGGGGAAACAGTGGAAACAGTGGGAGACTTTATTTTGGGGGGCTTGAAAATCACTGCAGATGGTGACTGCAGCCATGAAATTAAAAGATGCTTACTCCTTGGAATAAAAGTTATGACCAACCAAAGGTCCATCTAGTCAAGGCTATGGTTTTTCCAGTAGTCACGTATGGATGTGAGAGTTGGAAAGCTGAATGCCGAAGAATTGATGCTTTTGAACTGTGGTGTTGGAGAAGACTCTTGAGAGTCCCTTGGACTGCAAGGAGATCCAACCAGTCCATCCTAAAGGAAATCAGTCCTGAATATTCATTGGAAGGGCTGATGTTGAAGCTGAAACTCCAATCCTTTGGCCACCTGATGTGAAAAGCTGACTCATTTGAAAAGAACGTGATGCTGTGAAAGACTGAGGGCAGGAGGAGAAGGGGATGACAGAGGATGAGATGGCTGGATGGCATCACTGACTCAATGGACATGAGTTTGAGTAAACTCCGGGAGTTGGTGATGGACAGGGAGGCCTGGTGTGCTGTAGTCCATGGGGTGGCAAAGAGTCGGACAAGACTGAGCGACTGAACTGAACTGAACATATATGTGAGTCACTTTGCTGTATAGCAGAAATTAATTCAACATTGTACATCAACTACACTTCAATTTAAAAAATACAGGAACACCCTGATGAGGAGCACCCTTTCCCTAATACACTCTAAGGATGCAAGTTTCATTCCCCTTTCTTAGGAAGGAGCTAGCCATCCTGCTGTCTTGGAATCCTTGGCAATTTCAGGCCCCTCGCTCACTATACCCAGTGGGGACTTCAGTCCTCTCTGAATTTCCATGGACCCCAGTCCCCATCTTCCTGAATCTTTAGCATCGAGCCCCAACCTAAAAACCCAACATGCCCCAAATCCCAGCCCTAGGTCCTCCAGTTCTTCCCTTAACCATCAAGGATCCCAATCCCTTAGGCTCCCTATACCCCCCGACACTCCAGCTCCTGGGAATCCCAAACTCCAAGCACACTCCAAACCCATTCAACCTCCCCAATTTGCATCTTTCTGCCTCCAAGGCCCCTAGCCCCTGCTTCCATTTCGTCTCCCAAGACCAACCCTAGAACCCTACCCTCAGCACTCCTAAACCCAGTCCCTCCGCGCTAACTGTCCCGGGAACCCGGCTGCACCTTCTCCGAGTACACTGGAACCGCCGGTGCCTCCCCAGGATCCAGCAGCAGCCGCCGCCGCCGCCTGACCAAGACCCGAGGGGCTCCACCCGGCTCTGCGTCCGCCCCTTCGCTGTCACTGTCGCTGTCGTCCCGGGACGCGGCCGGCACGGGGGATTCGGGGAGCGGGACCTCGGCCGCGGCCGCAGCGCCGCGCGCGGTTGCGACCTCCAAGACATCCTCATCGCTGTCGCTGACCAAGTCCACGAGCACCGAGTCCAAGGTGCGTCGAGCTGGGGATCGCTGGGCGCCAGGACGTCGGCTCCGGCCGCCCCGGGATCCCCGAGCCCTTCGGCCGACGCCACCACCTCTGGGACAGCCCCGTCTCCTCACGGGCTCCGCCATGGCACACACCGGGTCTCCACAGTCGCCAGCTTCTGGTCAACTCGCCCGGCCCCCTCCAGCGGATTAGGCACTTCACTGGGCGAACCGCCTGCTAGTCAACACTTCTCCCCGCCCACGCCCTCTGGCTCCACCTCTCCGCATTTTCATTGGTCGCTGCACCCGCCCATCAGGCATTCACCACTGAAACCAAGGCGCCAAAGATTCCAATCAACCTCGGCGCAATCGTCGTAGGTTTCGATTCGGTCCGGCTCACCCATTGGCCTGACCTGCCTTCTGCAAGGCCCGCCCACCGAATGGAGTCTTTTTCCTGGTTGGTGGAGGAACGATGCATCCTGGGAATTGTAGTCCGCAAACCCTCAGGCTAGCCTGGAGAAAATCGGGCTGGGAATAGCTTTTAGACACTTCGAATCTCATCGGTGTCCGCTTTCCCCTTTCTCCCAACTGCATGGTGGGCTCAGTAGTTACACTACACGCCGACCCCTCGCATACGCCCCTCCTCATGTGCAGAATCGACGCAACACACACTCGAAGCCACACTTCAACACCATACTGCTGCTACTGCTAACTCGCTTCAGTCGTGTCCGACTCTGTGCGACCCCATAGACGGCAGCCCGCCAGGCTCCGCCGTCCCTGGGATTCTCCAGGCAAGAACACTGGAGTGGGTTGCCATTTCCTTCGCTGCATGAAAGTGAAAAGTGAAAGTGAAGTCGCTCAGTCGTGTCCGACTCTTAGCGATCCCATTGCAGCCCACCAGGCTCCTCCATCCATGGGATTTTCCAGGCAAGAGTACTGGAGTGGGGTGCCATCGCCTTCTCCGCAACACCATACAACTCTCCGAATTCCCTCCTACAGCGTTCCTCACACAGGACGTCCCGACAGACACTACACGGGCCATATCAACACAACATGCACTCTTGCAACACTGTCCCTCGATATGCACCTAAGAACACCAGCCTCGCAAAAAACCTGGAAGGGCAAACACAAATGAAAAATAAGAGGTTTAATTCTCCCTGTTGAAAATAAGAATCATGACTTCTCCCCCTTCACTCTTTCAGAATTTCTTTCTTGGAACTTTTCCAAATGTGTGTAAATCTGTGTGTGTGTGTGTTTCAATTGAAGTAGAGTTGATTTAAAACATTGTGTTCGTTTCTGGTGTACAACACGGTGATTCAGTTTTGGTGTTTTTTTTTTTTTTAAGGTTAGCTTTTTTTACATCAACGTTTTATTTTATTTTATTTTATTTTTTTTTAGTTCTACCACTTTATTGCTACCAACCCATCTCCCTCCACCCTCGTGCACACATGCTCAGTCATATAACCCCATGGACTTCAGCCCGCCAGACTCCTCTGTCCACGGACTTTTCCAGGCAAGAATACTGGAGTGGGTTGCCAGTGTTTTATTTTATTTTTTCTTTTTTTGGCTGGACTGGGTCTTCCTTGCTTTGTGCAGGCTTTCTTTGGTTGCGGGGGGCGGGGGGGCGGCTACTCTTCATTGTGCTGCCCAGACTTCTCACTGTGGTGACTTCTCTTGTTGTAGGGCACAGACTCTAGGCATGGGCTTCACGGGATCGGTATTTGTGGTGCACAGGCTCAATTGTTCGGTAGCATGTGGAATCTTCCCAGACCAGGATTCAAACCCATGTCCCCTGCTAACGCAGGCAGACTCATCCACTGTGCCACCAGGGAAGTCCATGATTCAGTTTTATATATATTTTCTTTTTAAAATTCTTTTCCATTGTAGTTTATTACAAGATACTAAATATAGTCCTCTGTGTTATACAATAGGACTTTGTTGTTTATCTATTTTATATATAGTATCTGCTAATCGCAAACTCCTAATTGATCCCAACCCACCCCCCACCCTTTCCCCTTTGGTAATCATGAACTTGTTTTCTTCTTCTGTGAGTCTGTTTCTGTTCTGTGAATAAGTTCTGGAGCCATCTTTTTGAAAGGCAAGTGTCAGGGGAAATGGCTCCAGCTCCAACGGGAGACTAACAGCCTAACTTGTAGAAGCTCTCCTGCAATATACAAAACCACTTACCATCTGAAAGATGCTAAAAGCTTTTTTCACCCTTGGATAAAAGCCAATTGCCATGAGAAAGTGTGATCTACTACGTATGTCTAAAGGTGAAGTCAAGTCCCCTTCTTGAGGCCTAGTCATCGGAAACAGGATACGGTTTTGAATATTTATATTGAAAAGAGGATAATGGGTTATACCTGCTTGGCTTATATGAAAGTGTGAGATTTCTTTTGGCTTTTGCAATCAGTCTCTTAGGGGACTGCCTGTGATGTGCATCGCATTCTATTTAATGCTTATTTAGTAATAAAATGGTTTTCTGTCTCTACCACTTCTGTAGAGAGGTTTTCTGAGTTGGAAGAAGGTTTTGTTTTTTCATTATATTTTCCCAACTGACCCAACAATGACACTGGGTACCTCAGAGGTTACCTACCCTCCACACGCTACAGTATTCACAACTCCTATATCAGATGCACCTCAACACACACAGCACAGGCACACCCCCTCCTACATGTCACACCTCCCACATTGCCTCCAATCGCATGACCCCTGTTGACCTAAATAAAAGTCAGTTATTGTAGAGAACTCCCTGGCAGTCCAGTGGTTAGGACTCCTTGCTTTCACTACCAAGGGCTAGAGTTCAATCCCTGGTTAGATATCCCTCCAGGGGAGTGGCACAGCCAAAAAGACAAACAAAACCAAAGTCAGTTATTTTTACCAGCAAGAATAGATTTATTCAGGAACAGTAGAGAACAAGGAAGTTATAGCAAAAGCCATAGGCAACGCCAATAAACAGAGAAGGTCATTGTATAGGAAAAAAAGGGAAGACACTGGGAGGGGTTGTTTTGAAGGAATGTCCACTGGAGAAAAGTGAGAGTTCAGGGTAATGATGGCTTCTCACTGTCCGAGTTGCTGGGGTAATGGATTTCTTCTAGGAGATGAAACGTACATCTTTTCCTCTTGGGACCTGTAACTGAAGATTCTTTCCAGTCCATGGTTCTTCCATTAGGGTCTTTAACTGACAGTTCTTCCTGTAATTGATGATGAGTGTCTTCAACTGACAACTGTTCCTGTAATTGATGAAAGAATCCCCTTCAACTGCATTTTAGTGAGGGTTCCCTTTATTAATTTTCACACCCCTGACACCTCACACTATACATGCCATACCATATTTCACACAGAACACCCACACAGCATAAAGCCAATACCACCTGTCTCTCACACACACAGCGTTCACGTGGCTTGTGCTTCACACACCCATCCAATGCAGCACCTTGACAGCCACCCACATCCTACCCCATCCCCCTCCTCTGCCACACTGATATCCACTACACATATACCTCAAGTTAGCCCACATCTTAAGTCCTCCAAATAAACTCAGCCAAAGTCAAGACTGAAGTCACACAAGCCCAGCAGGTGGGGCTGTTTCCCAAGGGACAAAGACTCTGGCTCTGGCAGCGTGGACTCCAAGGACTTCCCAGCCCCAGGAAATCATCTCTTTGCAGCAAAGCTGGAAGAATAGAGACTGCACCAAAAGTCTTTCTGCCACCTTGGTCCCTACCTGAGCATGCTCAAGCCTCTCAGTCCGACTCTTTGTGACCCCATGGACTGGAGCCCGCCAGGCTTCTCCGTCCATGGGATTTCCCAGGCAAGAATACTGGAGCAGGTTGCCATTTTCTCCTCCAAAGGATCTTTCCAACCCAGGGATTGAACCCACGTCTCTTGTGTCTCCTGCATTGGCAGGTGGATTCTTTTATCACTGTGCCACCTGGGAAGCCCCTCCCTACCTGAGAGGCTCCTGCAAACTAGGGGTGACTCTGAGGGCCTGAAATTTCCCTCAAGCCTCCGTCTCCCTAAATCCTGTTCATGAGCTATAGTGGTCCAGTACCTGCCAAAGAAACAGATCATGAGGTGGGAAGTTGGGAAACTTTGAGCGTGGCCATCTTCTGAGCAGGTCCCTTGACTAGAGGAAGTCCTGACCCAAATGTTCTGGGTGTCCTCTGGCTCTTGGGACACAGTGGCCCTTAATAAATGCCAAATAATTATAATAGCTAGGACTTCCCTGGTGGTCCAGTGGTTAAGACCCCGTGCTCCCTATGCAGGGGGCCAGGGTTCAATCCCTGGTCAGAGAACTAGACCCCCACATGCCCCAGTTAAGATTCCGCATGGTGCAACAAAGATCAAAGATCCTGTGTGCCACAGCTAAGGCTCAGCACAGCCAAATAAGTAAATACGTATTTTAAAAATAATAGTAAAAATAGCCAATGTTTGAGTGACTACTATGCTGCTGTCACATGCTTCATATTTCACTTAAGACTCATTAATGTAGCTATCATGACAATGGTTATTTTACAGAGCAGGAAACTGCAGCACAGAGAGCTTGAGTCACACAGTCAGAAAAGAGTGGATCTGGGATCAAACCCAGATAGTCTGATTCCAGAGCACTGGGCTGGAGTTGGCACACCTTGGTTCCTCTCTTCCCCCAAGCATTCCCCAGGTAACCGAGCTCATAAGACTCCTGTTTTTGCCCTCCAAATCTTAGGACTTCCCAGAGTCCTTCACTGACTCCTCCTTTCCCATTCATTTCTTCATCTTTGCCATCCTCTGATTGGGTACCAGAGGCACAGAGAAGACCCAGACCTGAATTCACCCTCAAGGAGGAAGGATGCTTTCACTAGGAGTCACAAATTTACATGCTTCAGGCATAAACAGGAAAGCTACATGAATGAAGCACGCTGGGTGAGAGACAATAGAGAATGGTGGGGACTACGGCAATATGGAAAGTTTACATTAGGTGACGGGTACGGTAGGGGAGAGGGTGAATCTTGAGCTAGATGTGGGAATTTTATTTTCTTTTTTGCCACATGGACTGTGTCCAAGATGGAAGGCCAAGAAAATGCTGAAGGTTCATTTCCCAACCCCCACAATCCAAACATACACTATGCAAATATAACAGGAAGCATCACTTTCTTTTCTTTCTCTTAGTACATACCTGAGCTCAAAAGCAGGAGAGAATTTTCCCAGTGCTAGAAATCAAGAAGGAAATCAAAGTCACAGCAGTGAAACAGAAGCCCATCGGAATGCTGGGGTCCCTAAGATTGGAGTTCTAATGACCACCTGGGAACAGAGGTCAAGTTTGCAGTTTCAGGAAGAGCAGCAAGCTGAAACTAAGCCCCCTGCACAAAGCTGGGAGCTGAGAAAAGACTGTCTCTCCTGGGCACAGAAGACAGAGCGGGAAAAAAATCCATCCACACACCTTAGCATACAGCTTGGAAAAAGTCATCAGAATTCCCAGAGCCATTGGAGTATGGGTTTGGATTCAGACCAAACCTCTAGTGTAAAAGCTTGCTCTGAATAAAATGATAAGAAACCCGTGTAGCCTGTAAAACTGTGGCAGAAGCCAAATCATGCTGGCCCCAGGAGATGTGAGTGGGGCCCAGGGAACTCAGGGGACTCCTGCAGGAGAAACTAAGAATGCTTCCATGGTGACATCACCATGTACAGATGACGGTAATCACCTCCTCCCTAATCCTACTTTATAACTGGGAACACTGAGGGTCAATGATTTTGAGTAAGTTACTTAAAGCTGGTTAGCAATTAAAGTATTTAATTTCTCTGTGCCTCAGTCTTCTCAGCTTTAAGGCAACAATAACTTTAGTGTACCTTCCTCATACGATTGTCATAAAGATAGAACGAGATGCTACTTGTAAAGCATTTATTAATATTAGAACTATGTCTGATACATCATCCTATGAGGAAGGTGTACTAAAATAGCTAAAATGAAAGTGTTAGTTGCTTAGTAGTGCCCGACACCGCAACCCCATGGACTACAGCCTGCCAGGCTCCTCTGTCCATGGAATTCTCCAGGCAAGAATACTGGAGTGGGTTGCTATTTCCTACTCCAGGGGATCTTCCCAACTCAGGGATCAAACTCGGGTCTCCTGCATTGCAGGCAGATTCTTTACCATCTGAGCCACCAGGGAAAAAGTAAGTTTTAAAGTTTCAGAGATGAGAAGGAACAGAGTCTCAAAAATAAACACAGGACATTATGAAGAAAGAACTGGAGCATTAATAAAAGGGATTCTAGGACTTCCCTTGTGGTTAAGGTGGTTGAGAATCCCCCTGACAATGCAGGGGACACGGATTCGATCCCTGGTCCAGAAAGACTCCACATGCCGCAGAGCAACTAAGCCCATGAGCCCTAGAGCTCTGTGCTCTGCAACAAGAGAAGCCACTGCAATGAGAAGCCTACACACCCCAATGAAGAGTAGCCCCACTCACCGCTACTAGAGAAAGCCTGCTTGCAGCAGCGAAGACCCAGTGCAGCAAAAAAAAAAAAAAAAAGATGTATGGCTGAGTCCCTTTGCTGTCTATCTGAAACTATTTACAACATTGTTAATCAGCTATACTCCAATACAAAATAAAAAGTTTAATTGAAAAAGAAAAACAGAATTCTAGAAATAAAAATGTAGGTATTGAAAAAGTCCAGGCAGGCTTACGGAGAGTAGGAGAGAGACTAGGTTTCAGATACCAATTTTCAGAAGAGCTGGGGCGCCAGGCAGAAGATACCAAAACTGTCAATGACCGAGCCCATCTTTGCCTGAGACAGGAATCTGGGTGTGGTGGAGCTTGCTACATCATAGTTTCAGGGCCTGGAGACTTTTAGCTCTGAAGTCTTGGTGTCTGTGGTTTACATCACAGGCAGTTTACCAGGTAATAGGCACAGTGGCTAGAACAGGAGCCAGATTTCTGGATTCAGCTCTATGAAGTGCCAGTCATGTGACCTGGCCTCTCTGACTCTCGGATTTCCATCTACAAAACTGCACTTAGGAAGGGAGGGTGTCAAGAATGATATAGGTTCTGGAATTAGACTGCCAGAGTTCAAATCCTGACCCCGATCTTTATTAACTAGGCAAGCCTTGGGCATGTAATTTAGTGTCTCTGCCTCAGGTTCCTCATCTATGAAAGAAGGTTGTTTGTGGAGGTAAAATGAGTTAATATACATAAACATACATACACATGTAATAAATATAAAATATTTTGATACAGTCTTGGCACATAAGAGCTTAATAACCTTGTGAGGTGATTGGAAAAATTAAATGTATTCATTGATGTCAGACTATAGTAGATGCTCAGTAAATAACAGTGACGGGACTTCCCTGGTAGTCCAGTGGCTAGGACTCTGTGCTCCCAAAGCAGGGGACCAGAGTTCGCACCCTGGTCAGTGAACTAAGATCCTACATGCCATGGGCAACTAAGCCCATGTGCCACAACTAAAGAGAGCCACATGCTGTAATGACTGAACCCTTTAGAGCCCATGCTCTGCAACAAGAGAAGCCTGTGCTCCACAATGAAGAGCCTACACAGTAGGTGGGGGAAATGCCGAAGCTAAAGAGCCCACATGCCGCATCCAAGATTGCAGATCCAGAGTGCGGCAACTAAGACCCGAGACAGCCAAATAAATAAAATAATAAATGGAAGTGATGACTGCCAATTCCCAGATTGCTTCCTCTTCAGTTGGTGCCCCTCATACAACTGCTGAATGAACCATGACTGAATGCCTGAATGGTGGGAATGGCAGGCAAGTAAGGGAGATGAGTGCAAGCCAAGTCACGGGGCAAAAGGCCCTGTGGTCCCCAAGACACAGTTCTCCCTCCTCTGCTGGATTCCAGAGGGGCTGGGAGCACCAGCGTTCACATCTTCCCTTCCCCTCCCCCACAAGGGCACTATGTCCCGGGATCGGAAGAGCTCACTGAGTTTGGGCTTCCCAGGTGGTCAGTGATAAAGAATCTGCCTGCCAATGCAGGAGACATGGGAGACATGGGTTCGATCCCTGGGTCGGGAAGATCCCCTGGAGGAGAAAAATGGCCACCCACTTCAATATTCTTGCCTGGGAAATCCCATGAACAGAGGAGCCTGGTGGGCTACCGTCCATGGGGTTGCAAAGAGTCAGGCATGACTGAGCAACTGAGCACACACACACACAGTTTATTTGGGGAGTGCAAAGGGGGCTGAAGTTTCACTTTTACACACACACACACACACACACACACACACACAGTTACACACATCCAAAGGCTGACAAAACATTGCTCCAGAGGCTGACGCTGTCTTCTTGGGGTCCCAGATTTCGAAGTCAGGTGAGGACCTCAGGGCCCTGAGGAGGCCCAGGCTATGGAGAAGAAAGGGTGATGGGGAACGGGTCCAGCAGCCAGCACCCCACTTCCATCCCTATTCATCTGCCTTCTTTTGCATCCTTGGAGGGCAGTTCCCAGCTTACCTGAAGGGAGTCACCTAGTGCTCCACCCCATGCGAGCCCCTCCTCCCCATGCCGGTTCTGGTCCATCGGGATTATCCATGTTCTCATAAGAGTCTGCATCTGGTCAGAACCAGGAAGGGGTAAGATGTAAGTAGAGCCGGAAGTCAGCCAGGAGGGAGGAAGTCTCAGAAGACCACAGGAGGTGGCAGGAGATGCACCCACCTTCCTCATGATTGGCACCAGGCTGGGCTCTAACGAAACGGAGCTGGGGAGCTGCATACAAGATCCCTCTCATATCCTCATAGGATTGGGACCCTGTATGGGCAGGGCACAGAGAGTTGGAGGCCTAGGAGCCATCCTGGGGACTTGGGGAAGGGCAGTGCAGCCTAAGAAACGGAGGGGGGTCTTAGGGGCTTGAGCAATATTGTGCTAGGAAGGGTTAGCACCAGATTCTGGGCCCTTGTTCATTGTAAGGTTTGGTCACATGTGGGTTAGATCACATTCATGGTCAGAGAAAAATCAAAAACAGAATTGGAAGGAGACAGAGTCAGAGTTGTCAGGAGGTTGTAGAGAGAGCTTGGGTCAAAGCTGAGGTCTGCACTGGGGCTGGGGTGAGCTGGAGGTCAAAGTCCAGGCTTGAAGTACATTGAGACTGGGGCTGCTGTTGATGATGAGGGATGGGGATGGATACTGGGGGTCAGGATAGGCTGTGGGGTCAGTGCTGAAGTTAGGGTTAAGAGTCAAGTCTAAGGTCAGGATTAGGCTTGTGTTGGGGATCAGAGCCAAGGTCAAGGTGGGGCCTGACTTCAGAGCCAAGGCCACATGAACCCAAGCTGGGCAAGACAGGCAGGTCCCAAGCACTTCTCACCAAGGGAGGTTGCCTCCCTGCTGGGGTCCCAGGCTGATCCATGGGGGCTCAGGAAGTCTGGAGAAGGAAGAGGGAAGTCATTTCTGGCTTTTGAGTCGCACACACACACACCCCACCTCCCCACAGGAACGTGACCATCCTCACACACACCTGTTGTCCTGGTGACAGTCGGGGCCAGTTCTTCATCTTCATTCTCATAAGACTCAGCTCCTGCAGGAAAAAGAGAACTCCAGGGACCACTCTGACCCGTAGGGGATTCCCAGCTCAGTGGGTTCTCCCGAGTCTCCGAGGCCTCACGAGGTCCCCAAGATTACCGTTAGAAAAGGAGTCTTCATCCTGAGGATCCAAGCTCCCTTCCTCAGGGTTCTCATAGCCGCTGCCATCTGGTGGGAAAGGAGGGGCATCAACGAGGGCCCACAGCCCACGGCCCGAGGAGGTGGGATGGGGGAGAGCAGTCTTACCCTGGGAAAGTTGGTCCTGCCCAAGTTTGGAGTCGTTCTCGTAAAACTCGGAGCCCTCTTCACTGTCCGGTTCCTCGTAGGCCTCCCCTTCCTCTTCTTCTGGGCCTGGGGTTCGGGGATGGAGGTGGAAACTGGGTCACGGGCCCCCTCCTTTAGGCCCCAGTCCACTATTCCTACCCCAGACCGCTTCGACACCTCTCACGTGAGTAATCACCACCCCCATCAATCACCGGTTCCTGGCGGGCTCCGGGACCCCGCGGCTCTGGCCTCCTGGACGTCGCTGCGCGGGGTTCCGTAGGACGGCGCGGCGGCTCCGAGGCCCGCAGCCCACCGCAGGGCGCGTCCTGGCGGGTGAGAAGAGATGGAGGCGATCAGGGCTACGGGCAGAGGATGCTTCCAGGCCCTGCTGGAGGACTCCGCATCTTGGTACCCAGCCTTGAGCCAGGGCAGAGGCGGGACCTAAACCTAGAGACGAGGTTCTGCTCTCGCAACCCGACTTAGGGTCCCGAGTCCTGGGGGCGGGGATGTGAGCTCTGGGGGCGGGCCTTAGTCTTGGGGGCGGGGCTCAGATGTAGGCGGGGCTCAGCGTCGCGGGGGCGGGCTCTTCACTGAAGGCGGCGTTCCGAGCTCGGGAAGACTTGGAGCTCAGGAGATCGGAGGAAGATGCGTGGGGTGCCCGCTCTGGGTCAGGTACCTACCCGTGCCAGAGTGGGGCATGGAGAGGGAAAGCATGTTTCCGTACTGGCTGCTGGCTCCGTTTCCCGGGGGAGGTGTCACTTTGAAGAACCTGGGGGAGGAAAAGGGAGTTGCACTTGAGGCCAGGCCTCAAGATTCAGGCTAGGGCTTCCCTGGTGGCTCAGTGGTAGAGAATACGCCTGCCAATGCAGGAGACACTGGTTCGATCCCTGATCCTGGATGATCCCACATGCTGCAGAGCAGCTGAGCCTGTGAGCCATAACTATGGAGTCTGTGCTCTAGAGCCCCAAAACCTCAACTACTGAGTCCACGCACTGCAACTACTGAAGCTTGCTCACCCTAGAGCCAGTGCTCCACAACAAGAGAAGCCACCGCAAAGAGAAACCCGGGCACCACAGCTAGAGAGTAGCGCCCACTCTCGGTAGCTAGAGAAAAGCCCGCGAAGCAAGAAGACCCAGCACAGCCAAAAATAAATAAAGAGAAATATTTTTTTAAAAGATTCAGGCTAAACCCTTCGAGGTTAAAATGTGGTCACTTGTTGAAACTTCCCTGGCGGTTCGGTGGCTAAGACGTGCTCCCAATGTAGGGGGCCAGGTTCCATCCCTGATTGGGGAACTAGATCCCACATGTCGTAACCAAGAGTATGCATGCTGCAACTAAAGATTCCACATACAGCAGGGAAGATAGAAGATCCTGCATGCCTGAACTAAGACCCAGTGAAGCCAAAAAAAAAAAAAAAAAAATGTGGTCACTTGTAATTAGTTAGCACCTCTCTTCTGACATAGACTACAGAGGGATCTGTGATCATCCAAGGAGGACTTCACAGAGGAGATGGCTTTGGTGCTGGTCTTTGAAGGCTGGGCAGCATTTCAACCATAGAGATGGAGAAAAGACACCATGAGCAGAGGAAACTGAGTGCAAAGTGTAAAGTCAAAGTGTAGGAGTGAGAGCGTGGAGGGCACTGGAATCATTACCTTCTAGTGGGATCTGTCATTCGCTTTCTTTTCCTCCTCAGGATCAGGGCTGGTGGGAGTTAAGGGGAATAATCAGAGGAGAGACTCAAGAGTGAAGATTTGGGAGATGCTGGGAAGATAACTTGGAGGAGATGGGAGTTCAAATTCCAAAGAGCTCGGGTCGTTTGGGGAGGGTAGAAAAGGAGGGAGGGCGAGATTCAGAGGTCTGTTGGGGAGGTGTGGGAGGGAAAATGGTTGTCAGACTGGCCAGAGTGGGCTCTCCTGAGGAGGGAGGGGTAAGGCTTGGGAAGACAAACATGACTCACCTCTTCGAAGATAAAGAAAACCCACCAGGGAAGTCAGGCAGAAGATCAGATAAATTAAAGTCACAACAGGGACTTTCCAGACACCAGTCTCCAGCAGCCAATGCCATACTGGTAGGGGGAAGGAGCTATGAGATGAAGACCCCAGGCTGGCATCTTGCTTTTCAGCCTCAGTTCCTCAAAGTGCCATAAGTCTGAGAGACCCTGGCCAGATACAGATCCTCAACATCCCAAGCTACACGGAGTGCTCTCTTCCCTTCCTCTGAGGACCCGGAACCTCGCACAGGGCCTGCAGCGGCATCTATTAAGCAAACCATGGACAAACTATGACTATCATCAGATGCTATGTTAGCTTCCTGCTGCAGCTAAGAACAGCCATGGTCAGTGTGAAGGGCAGAGTGGAGTTCTCAAGGTTAGAGGTGGGATGTGGCCATGTGCTGAGGTTAAGCTAGCAGGGAAAATTCAGACTGAGTATGAGAGCTGTGGTTGCAGTAGCACGGGAGGATTGAATGAAGGGAGACAGAATGGGCAGAACATTATGACCAATTTGATGGATGGGTAAGAAAAAAAGGAAGGATGCCCAGGTTCCTGGTGTGGGCATGTGGGCAAGGTGTCCGTCACTTACACAGGGCCACCCCGAAGACTATCGAGCTTGATATTGTAAAGGTTGAGCTTGCAGTGTCCATGGGATATCAAATGGCAGTTCCAGGTGTTGGCTGGGTGTGGGGTGTGATGGAGCCTAAAACTGAGCCACAAGGCCTGGTGGCCTAAAGAGGCCTGGGAGTGAAGGAAGTCAAATAGGATGCGGGAGTGTAGACAGACACAAGAAGAGGACTCAGGGCTTCAACAGTGAGGGGTGAGGGAGGGAGGAAGACTCCCCCAAAGTCTATGGGAAAAAATAACCAGTGGTAGGAGAAGACAGGGAAAAGTGGGTGTCTTGGAAGCAAGGGAGGAAAAGAGCTGGAGTCGGTGTTCAGTGTAGAAGTTGGAGTTTGGGATGATGAGGCTGGTACTGGGTCTCAGGTCAAGGGGCCAAGGTTGCCTAGCATCCAGTTCTTCCCTCTCCTCAGCCAGCCCTCCCTGCCCCAGCCACTCAGATGAGCCACAGTTGGGAGAAACTCTACCTGACTGGGCCGTGACCTTCAGCTGCATCTGGATGGTCTTGTTGCCATGGTTACAACGATAGGTGTCAGCATCTTGAGCTGTAGCCTCGGGCAGTAACAGAACCACCTTTCCCCCAAGGGTGCCCATGACCCACATCTCTCTGTGCTGGGCATGTTCGCTCACGTTTAGGCTCAGCAATTTGACATCAGGCTTCATGGGATACTTGTGGATCCAGGAGACAGAGCCTCTGACGAGGGAGGTACGGGAGGCCCCACAGGACAGCAAGAGCGTGGAGCCCGGGGCCACAGTGAGGTCTGGGGCAGGGAGAGCCACGGCTAGGAAGGCGTAATCTTTGGGGTGGGGGGTCCTCCTCCCCTGCAGATCATCCAGGTACCAGTCACCATCTCCCCGCTTCCCGGCACCCCCTCCCCCGCCATCACCTTACCACGGTTGTTGCTCTGGTTCAATGTGCTATTAGATGGAGCACAGGCCGCTTCTGTGTGTAAGATCTCCTTAAAGTGGTCCCAGCCCCACACATGCAGCTGGGACTTTGTGAGGTGACCAGAAGAGAGCCTAGGGCCCATTGAGGTTCTGTTCCCTGAGTCACAGCCTAGGTCATTGAGGTCTGAAGCATTCCACCGGAACAGTTTCCCTGGGAAGATACCCAGAACCAGAATACAGAGACCTCCAGGAGAGGAAGAGAGATACAGAGACCCAGAAAGGCAGAGGCAAAGACCCAGAGAGAGACAGAGAGAGAGCAACTCAGAGAAAAGAGTGAAAGACATAGAGCCATGGCGCTGACGTCATAATGCCACAGGGGTTTTTAGAAGCCACCTAAAACTAGCTTCCAGCTTGTCCCTCGGCCCCTCCGGCCCCTCCCTCTGGATTCATTTCAGCCGCTGGACCTCCTCCATCTCTGGTGGGCCTCCCTCTTCTCACCCAGCCCTCCCTGCCCCAGCCCGGACCTCACCGCTGCCCTTTACGCTGACCGTCCAGCCGGGCTGCCAGCCCTGCTCAGAAGGCGGGCCTGACTGGCACAGGTAGAAGCCCCCCATATGTTTGGAGACATTGAAGAGAAACAGCAGGGCTCCCTGGGGCTCCTTCAGGGTGCCCAGAGGCCCCACATGGATGCCCAGGCCTGGTAACCCCAGGCTCAACTCTAAGAAGGGTTTTAATTGGGAGCCCCGAAACCAGGCCAGGTGTTCGGGGGGACCATCCGAGGAACCTTCAAGGCATGGCAGCACAGCATTGCCTCCCTCTGTGGAGAGAGAGAGAGGGGGACGGGGTGGGGTGGGTGGGTGGAAGCAGGGAGAAAGGAACCCCTAGGCCCCTTCACTCCTCACACTGGGTGAGGAGCCCCCAACCCCACAGCCGGGAGTGGATGAGTCCTCAGAGTCCTTCCAATACCGCCCTGGATTTTACAGATAACAAAATGGAGGCTCAGAGAGGGTAAGTGACTCGGCCAAGGGCACCCAGCCGGAACCCAGATTTCCAGCCCTTCCATCTACCTCTGCCCTCCAGACATACCTTTAGCCTCCACTAGGCGTGGATCCTCGGGCCTGACTCCCATAGGGGTAAGGAAGAGGAGGAAGAGGAGAGGAGGTGGCATGGTGGCCAGACTCCCCGGGGCGCCCAGCTTCGCCGCGCGGGGGATGCTGGGGCAGGCGGGGAACCGGTGGGCACTGAAGCATGGGCGTCTGTGGGGGCGGGCGGGCAGTTCCCCCGGAGAGGAAGGGGTGGTCATGCCTCAGGCCCTGTCTCCATGCACCCCTCCAGAACCACAAAACTCACCTCCTCCCTGCTACCCCGTTTTATTTTCATCTCAGTGCTTACCACCATGTGAATGACCTTGTCTGTGTTTCCTTATTTGATCGCTTTCTGTCCCCCACCCCCCTAGAATGTAAGCCTCTTGTGGCAGAGATTGTTCTGTTCAGACTGCACACACGGTGCCCCAGAACAGGGCTTGGCACACTGTAGTTGCCCAAGGAATATTTGTTGAATGAGTGGGTTCAGACTCCTTCCTTCTCCCCCTCCTCCCTTCTTCAACCTCAAGCTCTGAATGCGTTTCCTTTCACACACACACACCACCCTGCTTCATTCATTCAACCAATATCTCTTGGGCCTTCTTCCACCTCCGTACAATCAGCCCATCACACATAAGGTGGGATCTGGCAGACCTGAGTTTGAATCCTCTGCCTTTGCCGCTTGGCTAAATGTCTTCATCTTTCTAAGCCTGAGCTTCATTCTCTTTATCAACTGGGGATAATAATAGTAGTATCCAAAAATTGTTTGTGGAGATTAAACTGGATGATATACATACAGCATTTGTAGCCCATCACAGCACATAGCAAGCCCTCTTTGTCCGTGAAAGATGGGGTCCATTAAGAGCTAAGGGTTCACATGTAAATCCATGGCTAATTCATTTCAATGTATGACAAAAACCACTGCAATGATGTAAAGTAATTAGCCTCCAACTAATAAAAATAAATGAAAAAAAAAAGAGCTAAGGGTTCAAGTCATTTTGCCACTGGGGCTCCTTTGCAGAGGTCCTGAGAAATAACTGATGGTTAATGCCCCTTTGTCTCCAGATCTCCCCCCATGAAGCCCCTGCTTCAGTTATGGGAGGAACCCATTCAGAAATGGGAGGGCATTTCTGAGGCCCCCCAAAGGGCAGGGTTGTCTAAGAGCACACATTCCGCTGGTGGTATAATTAGACATCAGAACGCAGGAGTCCTGACTCTTAAACCTTTACTCTGCCTCACACAACCCCTGTCTCCTCCCACCCTGCTTTTCCTCTCTCTCACCTCGCCCCACCCCGCATGTGAAGCTCTATGTCTGTCACTGCTGCAGTCACGCAGGGAAAAGGGCCAGGGACCCAGGAGACCAGCTCTCTTGGTTGCTGGTTCCCAGGCCCGTCTCACTGGGCTGTGGCTTCCTGTTTGCCTGAGTCGAACCTCAGGGGACCCTCCAGCTGCCAGGGCCCCCACTTCCCTTTGGTCGGGTTGGGGTGGCTGCAGGGGAAAGATTGGGGCATTGGGAGAATGGAGGGGGTGAGGGAGCAGGACCCCGTGTGCCTTTCATTCAACAGAATCTCTCTAATCCCTTCACTGGCTACTCAGCTGCCTCACACGCCAAGTCTTCTTGCTAAAGCATGTCAGCCCCCTGCTTAGAACATTCCAACGACGGTCATCTGCCTAAAGTCAACATTCCAAACTACGGCCTCCAAAGGTCTGAGTGAGGCTACCCGTGACTACATTTGCTGTCTCAACCCTCTGCCAGTCTGCCCCCACTCAGGGCCTCTGCATTTGCTGCTCTTCTTCCTGGATTGACACTCGGCTCTGCGCTCCACTGGCTCCTTTCCATCACTCAAGTCTCAGTTCAAATGTTACTTCCTCACAGAGACCTTCCCTGACACCCCAGGTACTTTTTTTTTTTTTTAATTATTTATTTGGCTGAGCTGGGTCTTAGATGCTGCATGTGGGATCTTTTGTTTCGGCATGCCAACTCTTAGTTGCAGCATGTGGGATCTAGTAATAGTTCCCTGCCCAGGGATCGAACCCAAGGCCCCTGCATTGGGAGCACGGAATCTTAGCCACTGGACCGCCAGGGAAGTCCCACCCCTGGGACTTTTAATTTCACACCTCTGTTTTATTTCCTTCCCAGCATTTGCCCCAGTCCCAAAGTCTGCTTGATTATTTTTCAAGTCTTCTCATTGGCCTCCTGCCCTAGATTACTCACTCTGCTGCAACAAGGGTCTTTACTGCCTGGTTCACTGACATCCAGAAGGTGCTCATTAAGTGTTGGTTGTGTAAAGGAAGGAAGTTAGTTACGGTCACCAAAGGGAAAAGGAAGGGGGGTTATACACTAGGAGTATGGGATTAACGGGTACAGACTGCTATACAAAAAATAGGTAAGAAACAAGGATTTACTGTATAACTCAGGAAACTCTATTCAAAATCTTGTAATAACCTATAATGCAAAATAATTTGAAAAAAATATGTATGTAATTGAATCACTTTGCCATACACCTGAAACTAACACAGTATTGTAAATCAATTATAAAAAATTAAAAATAAAAAGGAAAGGAAATTAGGAAGAGTGACAGAAAGCTTTTCTCTTTCCCCCATGTACAAAGTCACCAAAGTTAGTCCATTTCTGATCCTTAATAATTCTAGTGTCAATTTTCCCCTATTTTGGACTCTACTCAACCAGAACAATTTCAACAGCTTCATTTTTTAAAAAATACTCATTTATTTGACTGCTTCAGGTCTTAATTGCAGCACATGGGATCTAGTCCCCTGACCAGGACTTGAATCCCAGCTCCCTGCATTGGGAGCTTGGAGTCTTAGCCACTGGACCACCAGGAAAGTCCCTCAATAGCTTCTCCTTTGGGCTCTCTGTCCGCTCCCTTTTATTTCCCATCCACATTGCTCACAGAGAAATTTTCCCTGGGATCAGCCATGTGCTTCCCCTGCTCAACAGCCTTCAATGACTCCCAGGGTCTCAGGTTAAAATCCAAACCTGATAGTTGACTGACTTACAGGCATCATTTCATGCCCTCATTTCATGCCTTTCCCAAGAAACCCTGCCGCATATACAGGGAGTCTGGACTTTATTCTGAGGACAAGTGGCTCTTGGGGATTTGTAAGCTAGGAGTTGACATGGTCAGATTTATATTTTCTAAAACTCTCCTTGCTGCAGTGGCAGAGGAGGAGGTTAGAGGGAGTCCGGAGAGATCAGAAAGGGAAGTGTTCATTCATTCATTTACCAAATATTTTCTATTTTAAGTGTTACGGTTTATTTATTATTATTATTTTGGCTGTGCTGGCTTTCTTTAGATGTGGATCTCGGACTTCTCATTGCAGTGGCTTCTCTTGTTTTGGAGCATGGACCCTAGGGCGAGCAGGCTTCAGTAGTTGCACCACCTAGGTTTCAGCAATTGTGGCACACGGGCTGAGTTGTGCCACAGCATGTGAAATTTTCCCAGACTAGGGATGGAATCCATGTCCCCTGAAAGGTAAGGCGGCTTCTTAACTACCAGACCACCAGGGAAGTCCTGTTTACTACTGTTTATTTACTGGACACTGCTTGTTCTGGGAAAATAACAGGGGACAAGAAAGACAAGATTCCTAATCTCATGGAGCTCTGATTCAAGTCCTGGGGCCACAGAAGGCTAAAGGGGGCCAGGTAATAAAGTTAACCAATAAACAATTGTTTATTATTAACCAATAAACAAATGGTGAGATGTCTCTCTAACATAATCTAATGGTGGACAGGTTATTGAGCTGGTGACTTTAGACAGCGTGGTCAGGGAAGGCTTCACTGAAAAGGTGACTTTTTAAAAAATTATTTATTTTTACTTTCAATTGTATCGACTTTTCATTGCCATGTGCATGCAGGCTTTCTCTAGTCTCGAAGAGTGAGGGTTACTCTCTAGCTTCTGTGTGTGGGCTTCTCATTAAGGTGGATTCTCTTGTGGAGCACAGGCTCTAGGCAGTTGGGTTTCAGTAGCTGCAGTATCTGGGCTCAGTAGTTGTGGCTCATAGGTATAGTTGCTCTGCTCTGTGGTATCCTCCAGGAACAGGAGTCAAAACTGTGTCCCCTGCATTGACAGGCGGACTCTTATCCACTGCACCACCAGGGAGGTCCCAGGAGGTGACTTCTGAGCCAAGACCTGGGGTGGAGAAAAGCTTGGTGTGTTTAAGTAAGGTCATGTTTAGTCTCTAAAAAAAACTGTCATACCCTTCCACAAAGCTGCTATACCATTTTACGTTCCCATCAGGAGTACTTGAGAAACTCAGTTTCTTCATCTATTCACCAGCATTTGGTGTTATTACTCTTTTTAAATTTTAGCCATCCTGGTAGGTGTGCAAATAGGAAATTTGAACTTCCCTAATGGTTAATGAGGTTGAGTACCTTTTTTCATGCTCTATTTGCCATCTACATCAGTGAAACTCGTGTCCTTTGCCCATTTTCAAATTGGATTGAACCAGATTTTAAGCGGGGATGAGACAAGATCTGTTTTACAAAGATCACTCTAACTGCTTTGAGAATTAACTAAGGGGACCAAACGGTGACACAGGCGGAGCAGGAGGCAGATGATGGGGACTGAGGCTGGGTGTCAGCGCTGAAGATGCAGAAATAGGGACCCATTCAGGAATATTCAGTCCTTTGGAGGTAGAGCTTGAAAGACTTGCAGGCTCCTGGAATGTACTTTACAGAAGGAGAAGCAAGTTTGGGAGAAGGGGAATCAAGACTCTAGACTTAAGTCTGAGTTGCCTGTCACTGACTAGGGGAGATCTCAGGTCGGCTGTTGGAGGGAGAGGTCACAGATAATGAGGGCTTGACCTAGGCAGTGGCCGACAGAGGAAAGGAGGGATTTGAGCGGCCTGGGAGGGGAAGATTAGCAGGAAGTGGTGACTGGCTGAATATCAAACTGGGGTTGGGACATGGAAGTTTCTGACTTCCACGACTGACGACGCGGGGGCCCAGGCGCCCAGAGAAGTGAAGTCGACCCAGCAGCCCTGCCCCGAGGGACGCGCCCAGAGAAGTGAAGTCGACCCAGCAGCCCTGCCCCGAGGGACGATCCACGAAAGCGGAGGTGCAGGGAGGCTCGACCACAATTCGTTGTAACCTGAGCCAAGCTCCGGCGGAAGGGCGGCCAGGGACCGATCAAAGGGGTCAGCTCCGGGGACTGGGCGAGACCGCGAGAACTTTGTTCTCCTTAGGCTGAAGCCAGCGGGCGTCCCGGAGGACGTGTAATTTGAGCAGAGCTTCCAAGCTCACGCGGAGACGCGCGAGGCCTTTGATGAAAAAGCTACTTTGGGGTTTGAAGGGTAGGCGTCCTTGTCCAACAGTGCTACTCAAGAAAGAAGGCGGGGAGCGCCGGGATCCGGGGCCGCGGCCGAGCGTCCACTCGGCAATCTTCGGCTGAGGCTCGGCCACCGCCCCCCCAACTCCGGCCTCAGCCTCGAGCCTAGGGCCGATCCGGAAACAGCCGAGCGGATCCGGAAACAGCCGAGAAGACCCGGAAGCGGTGAGAGCCGTCACCAGGGAGTGCGGGAACCCGCCGTTTGCGCGGAGGCAATGGCGGCAGCTGCGCCGGCGGCCGCGGGCGAGGATGGCCGGCGGCGGCTGCCGGGGGCCGGTACGTGGGGGCTCGTCCGTGCACGCGAGGGGCGGTGAGGCCGGAGGCGGGGCCGAGTTCGGCGTCGCTGGATGCGGGGGGAGTGGGGGGAGCCTGGAGAAAGGGGCGGGACCACGCCGCCGGGAAAAAGGTGGAGGGGGCGTGGTCTAGCGATGCAAGGTGGAGGGCCAGTGGCAGGTTAGAGATGGGGCCCAGTGTGGGAGGGTGGGGCGGGGCCAAGTGGGCAAGGGGCGGGGCCACTGAAAGGGAGGGGACGTGTCAGAGAAAAGAGGGGATTGGGTGAACCGAGAGAGGAAGAGGCGAGGCTCTAGACAACACGAGGCAGAACTAGGTGAGAAGGAGGCGGGGAAGGGGCGGGGCCAAGTGAGCAGGGTGGGGTTAGGTAAAGGTGCAGGGACCTTGGCTATAGTACTAAGTTGCAGAACTTGAGGATTTGATACCTTGGGAATCTGAGAATGATGAGAAAAGAGGCTGATCCCTGTCCTCCACAGCGCTGGACATCCAGCCCCAGGAGGGGGCAAAAGTTGAGGCTGAGTCCGGGGAGCTCGTGCGGCTTCGGGCTGAGCTAGCAGGCGCCCTGGCAGAAATGGAAACCATGAAGGCTGTGGCCGAGGTGAGCGAGAGCACGAAGGCCGAGGCTGTGGCGGCGGTGCAGCGGCAATGCCAAGAGGAGGTGGCCTCGCTGCAAGCCATCCTGAAAGGTGAGTCAGGCGGTCCTCCCAGACTCCCTCGGCCCCATGAGGGGGAGTGCACGACAAGAAAGGGGTCATCACCTACACCCATGGGGTAGTTGAGCAGGACTGCCTAGCACAGGCAGGCTCGGGATTCAGAGGAAGAAGCAGAAGCGTGCTTTTTAAATTTGCATAGAACCCCAGCCTGAGCTCCAGCAGCAGCTCTGTCAGTTCCAGCTAAGTTTAGCTCAGAAGGCTACCTCTTCCCTGGCCTCATGTCATTTCTTGTCCCTCACTAATGACTGATCAACCCTGAAAGTGAGCAGTTTCTCAGTTCCCTGAGAACTCGTTTGAGTCTCTGGCCTTCAGACTCAGCCCTGGGCCTTATCTCTGTAAATCTCATTATCTGGTTTCCTTGCTTCTCCAAGCACCCCTACATCTTCCCATGACCTCCACCTCCCCCCACACGCACCAACTTCCCTCTTCCCTCACATCCTCTGTACTTGGGATACATTAGCTCCCCTTGTCCCAGATCACCCAGTGTCTTTTCCTCTTTTCCTGCTTCTCCCCTAGTCAGAGGCCAGATTCTCTGCAATAGCTTCCAGTCACGTCCCACCCCTCTGCTTCCATGGCCACTGCTGCAGTGAAGCTGTCCGTCTGCTCCCGCATATTGTTGCCCCAGCCTTCTTACAAGTCTTCCCAGTCTGTCCTTGACCTTGGCTTCCAGATTAAATTTCTTAGAATTCCCATCCCACCATGTGATTTCCTTTTCTAACGACCACTCCTGGCTCCAGACTTCTCTGGGCCCATATTTCTCACATTTCAGGCATCCGTGTCCCATCTGTGCGATGTGATTGTCTCCTTGTATGACTTACCTTGTAATCTACTTGATATTTGTTCTTCAAATAGATCCACTTTTTAAAAACTTGCATACATCTATTTTAAAGGGAACTTCCTATTCCTATAAGAAACTGTGTCCTAAATAATAACGATAACCAATATTTATTGAGTGCTGGGCTTCACTGGTGGCTCAGATGGTTGAGAGTCTGCCTGCAGTGCAGGAGACCTGGGTTTGATTCCTGGGTTGGAAAGATCCCCTGGAGGAGGGGATAGCAGTCCACTCCAGTATTCTTGCCTGGAGAATTCCATGGACAGAGAAGCCTGGTGGGGTAAAGTCTGTGGGTTCACATAGAGCCGGCCACGACCGAGTGACTGGCACTTTCACTGAACTAAATACTTGATGAGTATTTAATCTTCATCAGAATTTCTATGAGGTAGGAACTTTTATCCATCTCTGTTTTACAGAGGAAGCTCTGAGGCTCAGAGAGTTTAGATAACTTGCCTAAGGTCATACAGCTGGAAAGGACAAGATTTGAACTCTGGCAGTCTGACAACAGAATCTTCACTTCTGATGTTAGTATGTGTTAAAATAAATAACCATGGAAATGAAAAATGACCATGTTCCACTCAACATTGCCTTTAACTCCCACTGACCTGTGAAGATGAATTCTAAATCCTGGCATGGCATTCTGCATCTTCACTGCTGTTCTTCCAGGATGTCCGCTATGCCCCAGCCACAGCATCCACTTTCCCACCCGTGAGCCTTCGAGCCCGTTACTTACTTAATGTGTCCCTTCTGTCCTTTAGTGCTTGCTGGTGTCTTTCCTGGCCAGGCAGGCAGACCGAGGGTCTCCTTCTTCTGTGACCACCAAGCCCAGGAGTGGTCCTCTCACAAGCTCTTCTCAGACTGCTTTGTAACTTTCCACGGCTGTCTTTCTCATTGAACTGTGGGCTCCTGGTGTCAGGGTTTGTGTTTGATTAATTTCTCTATTTCCAGGGCCCAGTTCAGAGTCTGGTCCAGGATGAATATTTATGACTATTATTAGATATTGCTTGTTATTCTTATGTATTAATAGCAACAGATAGCCTATCTTTAGCATTTATTATGCACTAGGAAGAGGGTTAAAGCCCTCCCCGATATCTTGTCATTTGATCCTGTAACAAGCCAGCAGGGTAATCATTAGCCGAGGACATTATGCAGAGAGGCAGATTGCCCAGGACCTTGTTGTTCTGTGCTCAGTCACTCAGTCATATCCAACTCTTTGCGACCCCATGGACTGTAGCCCGCCAGGCTCCTCTGTCCATTGGGATTTTTCAGGCACGAATACTGGAGTGGGTTGCCATCTCCTCCGTCCAATCATGGAGCCTACTGTCATCACCACTATGGTAAATTGCCTTACAGAGAGCGGCAGTGATGGAGAGCTCCCTGTTCGCCCCCAGGTAGGGCTGACGCACTGACTGTCCCTCTCCTCTGCCTTTCCTGCCCTGCCAGACTCCATCAGCAGCTATGAAGCCCAGATCACGTCTCTGAAGCAGGAGCGGCAGCAGCAGCAGCAGGACTGTGAGGAGAAGGAGCGGGAGCTGGGGCGCCTGAAGCAGCTGCTCTCTCGGGCTCACCCCCTGGACTCCTTGGAGAAGCAGATGGAAAAGGTTGGGGTTGGGATAGCCTACCCGCCCCCTCTCCAGGGACTTGGGAAGATATTGAGGCAGCCAAAGGTGACCTTGGGGCACAGGGTTTGTTGATGTCCCACTGCCACATCACTGGGAGCAGGGCACTCAGCAATAATTCTAGGTACTGACCCTGTACTCAGCACAGGAAAATTGGGACTTCTGTGGTGGTTCAGTGGTTAAGACTCCTTGCTTTCACTGCAGGGGCCACAGATTCATTCCCTGCTTGTGGAACTAAGATCCAGCATGCTGTGTGGCATGACTCAGAAAAATTAAGAAAAGTCATGTGTGGGGGGCGGCTAACATTTAAGGATACCTCTTACGCACTAGGTACTGTGGACAGACTCAGTCTCCCCAGTCTTTCCCCTGAAAGACAGGTCCATTAGATCCATTTAACAGATGAGTAAGGTGAGGCTCAAAGAAGTGTAGTCATTCTCGCCAGGTTATATGCATAAAAAGGAGCAGATCTGGGACTTTCTTGGTGGTCCAGAGGTTAAGAATCCTCCTCCTGCCAATTCAGGGGACACAGATTTGATCCCTGGTCCCAGAAGATTCCATATGCTGCGGAGCAACTAAGTCCATGTGCTACAGTTACTGAAACCCAAGAGCCCTAGAGCCCATGCTCCACAACGAGAGAACCCACCACAATGAGAAGCCCACGCACCACAACTGGAAAGTAGCCCCTGCTCGCTGCAACTGGAGAAAGCCCATGCACAGCAAGGAAGACCCAGCACAGTCAAAAAAAAAAAAAAGGAGCAGATCTGGGATTTTAAAATCTAGGCAGTCTAGTTCCAAAGCCTTATTCTTAGTTTTTATGGTATATCATCACTTTTATTCCTGCTATCATAAACAATCATAGGAAACACATATTACCAAACTCTTCACCTTTCAGGGCAAGTTCACATCTCCCCATTTGAGCCTCACAGCTGCACATTATATGTGAGGAATGTGAGGCTCACCTTATACATGAGGCTCAGGGAGATGGAGTAAATCTCCTGGTGAGAAGGACAAAGATCTAAACAGGAGCCCAAGAAAGGAAGGCTTTCAACCTACAATTTGCTGCAGAGGCTGCCACTATACTTGCATTCCAAGTGTTCCTCAGAGTGGTTCGCGGGGTAGTGAAGGAGAAGGCTCTGCTAAATTAAATCTGGCAGGTACAGTGGAAAGAGGCACAGGCCCAGAGTCAGGAAGTTCCGATCCTGGCCCTGCATCCAGCCGTCATTCATCCACTGTGTGGGCATCTGCAGAGCATGTACTGCAGGGCTTGAGATGGGATCAGAGGTGTTTTGTTTGGGCCACACAGGCTTACCCTACCTGTTGGCAATGTTCACATAAGAGATTGGGAGGGTTATACTGAACTTGCCTGAGATGGGTTTTTGAGTTACTCAAGAGGCAGAAATTGTATGAATTGGAAGAGGATGGATGACTGGCCAATTTCTGCCTTGGACAGATAGGTGGATAGCAGGGTCATTGTTGTTGACCTAGTGCTATGAGAGGAGAAATGGCAGTGTGAGTTGGTTTAGATTGGCTGTTCAAGGACAGAAGAGCCTGTCTAACACCCAAGTTGAGGTGTCCAGAGGCTGTTGACTGTGCAAGTTCAACAGAATCCCAAGCCTGAAAAGAGAGCAAAAAAGAAGAGGCCAGCAATATGGTGGTGATGGAAGTGTGGGAAGACATGTCAGGTAGGACAAAGTTTGAAAACTCAAATCAACAGTGGCTTAAATAAGGTAGAAATTTATTTTTCTTGGGCTTTCCTGATAACTCAGGAAAGTTGGTAACTCAGTCAGTTGGTAAACAATCCATCTGCAATGCAGAGACCCTGGTTCGATTCCTATGTCAGGAAGATCTGCTGGAGGAGGCATAGGCTACACACTCCAGTATTCTCGCCTGGAGAATTCCATGAATTATATAGTCCATGGGGTCGCAAAGAGTCAGACATGAATTTCACTTTTCACTTTTATTTTTATTAGAGTTCAGAAGTAGACATTCTAGGACTGATGTGGCAGCTCAACAAGTCGTTAGGAACCCAGGCTCCTCCTATGTTGCTGTTTTGCCATAGGTAGCGTACTGCCTCATGGTTCAGGATGACTGCTTGAGCACCAGCCATCACGTCTGCATTCTAGCCAGCCAGAAGGAGGTTGACCTGGAAGTTACACCCAGCACGTCTGCCTACATCTCATTAGCTGAAACTTAGTCATATGACCATGCTTAGTTATAGGGAAGCTGAGAAATGTAGATGGTATTCTAGGATTCAGGTCATGAGCCCAGCTAAAAATGTGAGGCTCTGTGATTAAAAAAAGGGACACATGATATTGGGGGAGAAAAGTATGTCACTCTACAAGTGGGCAACAGGAAGGCGGTTGTGACTTCAGCCACCTACCATGTGACCTGGGGTAAGCCTTGTAAGTGCTCCGAGCCTCTGTGTTTCTCTCTAAAATGGGGGTGATAGCACGTGCCTGGGAGGATTAGAAGAGCTGATGTGCTTGGAAGGAAAGCTCTGAACAGGCCTGAGGCTCCTGCAGTCAGGAGGACTGCCTGTCACTACCCAACGCCCCTTCCCCTTCCCCAGGCCCATGAGGACTCGGAGAAGCTGCGGGAGATCGTGCTGCCCATGGAGCAGGAGATCGAGGAGCTGAAGGCGAAACTGCTGAGGGCCGAGGAGCTGATCCAAGAGATCCAGGTGAGGGGGTGGCCAGGGGGCGCTGAGGGAGGCAGGGGCACTGCGGGACCCCGGCCCCTCAGCATCTTCCCTGCCCCCTCTCCCTAGAGACGGCCCCGGCATCCTCCTTCCCTGCACGGCTCCACGGAGTTGCTCCTGTCCCGGGACCCATCTCCCCCGCTGGAACCTCTTGAGGAGCTGAGTGAGGACGGGGGCCCAGCGGCCGAGGCCTTTGCCCACAACTGTGACGACAGCGCCTCCATCTCCTCCTTCTCCCTCGGCGGGGGGGCCAGCAGCAGCGCCTCCCTGCCCCGCAGCCGCCAGGGCCTGAGCCCTGAGCAGGAGGAGACAGCCTCTCTGGTGTCCACGGGCACCCTGGTCCCCGAAGGCATCTATCTGCCCCCTCCTGGTTACCAACTGGTCCCAGACAACCAGTGGGAGCAGCTGCAGTTGGAGGTGAGTGGAGAGGGCAGGGCAGTCTGCCACCACGCACGCATCCATCCATCTATCTCTCCCTTCAAGTCCTTACTGAGCTCCTGCTCTGTCCCAGCCCTGGCTAGAGCCAGGCATCCTGCAGTGAAGAAGAAAACTGCTACCCTCTTGGAGCTTCCTCTCTTGAGGGAGCCAGGCCCAGACATGCACATGGGCCCATGAGGAAGACAGTGTCACAGGGTGAGACTCTCACTACAAAATTCAACAGGGTTGTGGAGGGGCTTCCCTAGCGGTCCAGTGGTTAAGACTTCACCTTCCAATGCAGGGGCTGCAGGTTCGATCCCTGGTCGCAGAGCTGAGATCCCATATGCCTTGCAGCTAAAAACCCAGAACACGGAAACAACAGAAGTAACATTGAACAAACTCAATAAAGACTCTAAAAATGATCAACATACAAAAAAAAAAAATCTTAAAAAAAAATAGGATTATGGGGTAGAGACTGGCAGGCAGGAGATCTTCCTAGCTGGCACAAGAGGTGCTTTTTGAGGATCAGAGACCAAAGGAACTCCAGGTTCCAAGGCCCAGAGGATGGACATACCATGGTGTGTCTGAGGAGCTAGAAGCCTGCTAAGGAGGGAAAGAGAGATGAGGTCAGAAAGGCAGGCAGGGGCCACAGGAGGTTGGGCTCGGCTTCGGGGTCTGCCATGAAGTTTGCGTTTCGGACCAGGAGCTGTGGGAAGCCTCTGTGGGGTTTAAGGCAGAGAGAGGCCTGCTGTGCTTTAGGCTTATAATGGGTCACTGGGGTCTCTGGGTGAGAATGGATTGTAATCGGGGGAAAGGGCAATGGGAGAAGCAAGGTGGCTTGTCGGAAGGGTGACGCTTGATGTAGTTTAGAGGAAGGTAGTGACTGGGACCAGGAGGTGGCGGCCAAGATGGAGACAAGTGAGTGGATTTGGAATTCATTCTGGAGGCTGCCGGGCAGGGCCTGCTGGTAGTCTGGACCCGGGGAGTGGAGGACAGAGAAGAGTCAACGTCCGTTCCCGAGCTTTTAGCTGGAACGACTAGGCGGACGCTGGCACTGCCCAGGGAGATGCAGGAGACAAGGCGTGAGAGGCCTGGAGAGGAGGGAGGCCTCCCCTTGGCCGTTGAGGCTGAGGCTGGGATCTATGTCAGGGGCGGCAGCTGCAGAAGGACCTGGAGAGCGTCACCCGAGAGCGGGACGAGCTGCAGGAGGGCCTGAGACGGAGCAATGAGGACTGCGCCAAGCAGGTGGGTTCAGCTCCAGCCCCGAGGGGCCTCTACTCCTGGCCTCCTTCTGGCCCCGCCTCACCCTTGCCCCCCCCTCCACCCACAGATGCAAGTCCTCCTGGCTCAGGTCCAGAACTCAGAGCAGCTGCTGCGGACCCTGCAGGGAACCGTGAGCCAGGCGCAGGAGCGCGTTCAGCAGCAGATGGTGAGGGCTGGGAGGCCGGGGGGGGGCCAGGAGAGGAGTGGGAGGGGAATTGGTTGAGGCCCACGTGGAAGGTTGAGACACCTGTCCTACTGCCCTACCCAACCCCGATCCGCTCTGGCTTCACCCTGGAGTTGGTGCCAGGCAGATAAGAGGGCTTCCAGGGCACCAAATTCAGACAGAGCCCACCACACACTCAACTCAGTGATCTTTAAGCTAATCCCACAAGCCCAGAGCCTCAGCCTTGATGCCTTGAAATTGAGATAATGGGTCCTAGCTTGCAGAGTCATGAGGATGAAAAGCAGAGATTGCAAAATCGGATGCTTCAAGAGACGAGACGAGAGGCAAATGATTGAATGGGGCCAGGTGTACGGCCAGAAGGAGCAGCAGGCAAACGGAGAACTCTGCTGACTGCGGCACGTGGGAATTCAGGCTTCATGCTGCCTGTTTTTCTCATTTGTCAAGAGAAGCCGGATCCAGATATTTATGTGTAGTCTCCCAGGTTTTAAAGTTGTTGTTGTTCAGTCATTCAATCATGTCCGACTCTTTGCAACCCCACGGACTGCAGCACGCCAGGCTTCCCTGTCCTTCATTGTCTCCTGGAGTTTACTCAAACTCACATCCATGGAGTCGGTGATGCCATCCAACCATCTCATCCTCTGTCATCCCCTTCTTTCCCAGCATCAGGGTCTTTTCCAATGAGTCAGCTCTTCGCATCAGGTGGCCAAAGTATTGGAGCTTCAGCTTCATCAGTCCTTCCAATGAATATCCAGGGACCACATAAGACAACCGATGTGGCCTGTGGCTGCCACTGTGTGACCTTGAAGTCATCGAGGGGGCTATAGAAAGAGCTTAAGGGTCTTCCTGGTGGTCCACTGGTTAGGACTCCATGCTTCCACTGCAGGGGGCCCGGCTCCATCCTTGCTTGGGGAACTAAGATCCCTCAAGCAAACAAGGAAAAAAAAAAAACAATGAGCTTGGGAGCCAAAGACACTTGCTGAAGGGTGTTTCTTCCTTTCTCAGCTGAGAAGGAGGGTGTGGGCTTCCTGTTTCTCCTTCCAGTGTCTGGGAGGAGGGCTCAGGGTCTGGCCTCCCAGGAGATGCCCGTCCCCTCATCGCCTTGTCCTGACTGTCCACCCCCAGGCGGAGCTGGCCACCTCCCACAAGTGCCTGAGCCACGAGGTAAAGCGCCTGACGGAGGAGAACCAAGGGCTCCGCGCTGAGCAGCCGCCGTCTTCAGCCCCCCGGGGCCTGGAGCCGGATGAGGGTGGGGAGGAGTCGCTGCCCAGCTCGCTGCCGGTAAGGGGGGTGCGGGCCCTTCCTCTCCACCCGCAGCAAAGCACTGGCCTGGGGCCACGGGACTCAGGGCCAGACCCAGGCTGCTGTATCAGCTGCATCACCACGGTCAAGTCATGTGGCTTTGCTAAGACTCAGTTTCCTCCTCTGCAAAATGGGACCACAACCCCTCCCAGCATTGGCACAGAGAGAAAAGGAGTTCACAGACATGAAGAGGGGCTTCCCTAGTGGTTCAGAAGGTAACGAATCTGCCCGTAGTGCAGGCAGGCTACAGTCCATGGAGTTGCAAAGGGTCAGACACGACTGAGCGACTCACACTTTCACTTTGACACAAAGGAAGCAGTCATTTGGCTTGTTATTTTTACTTTATCAATTCTTTTGGCCTCACAGAGCATTCCTGTGTGCTAAGTCACTTCAGTCACGTCCAGCTCGTTAGGATACTATGGGCTGTAACTCAGTAGGCCCTTCTGTTCATGGGATTCTCCAGGCATGAATACTGGAGTGGGTTGCCATGCCCTCCTCCAAGGGATCTTCCCATCTCAGGGATCAAACCGATGTCTCTTATGTCTCCTGCACTGGCAGGAGAGCTCTTTACCACTAGTGCCTCCTGGGAAGCCCCCACCGCACAGCATGTGGGATCTTAATTCCCCACCCAGAGATTGAACCTGCGCCCCCTGCGGTGGAAGCACTGCTTCTGAAGCCCTGGACTGCCAGGGAAGTCCCTGACTTATTTTTAAGTGGCAGGAGATCCACAAAATTGAATTCATCGGAATCTTGGGTTCATTGAAAGCTATCGTCATTGATCCGTGCGTGGCCTCCATCCGTCAATTGACTTCATTAAGAGTATGAAGATCACCTGGAATCCTTGCCCACCCTGAGAACTATGACTGACATCTCCTTACGTGCGACCCTGCCCCACATTCCTTGGCTCTGCTTCTGCCACCCCCAGCTTTATCATTCCTTTGCCCTTCTTTGGTGTCATTTTTATTATTGGATTGGCCTAAAGAGTCATTCGGTTTTTCCATAACAGCGCCCAGAAAAACCCGAATGAATGTTTTGGCCAACCCAACACATACACACGTCTGCCTAAACTGTGGAGTGCTCATAACTTCACTTGTTTCTGAGCGTTACAAGAGCTCCAAATCTTCCTCTGGGTAGTCTGGAACTTGCATCAGCTCCACTCCCGAGGGTCCTCCTCCCCAGGCTTGTGCTGCAGGAAGCAGCCATCCAAGAGTGTGTGTGTCCAGCCTCCCCACCATCCCCCTCGAGTCCCTGGCCCCCAGGGCCTCTGCCCCCCTCCCCCCCACACACACACACCACCCTGCAACCTGCCAGTGACTTGCTTCCTCCCAGGAGCTGCAGCAGCTGGTGCGCCGCACGCAGCAGGAGGCGCGGGCCCGCCAGCAGGCCCAGGAGCACGAGGCGGAGAGGCTGCGGATTGAGATCGTGACTCTACGGGAGGCGCTGGACGAGGAGACAGCGGCGAGGGCCAGCCTGGAGGGGCAGCTGAGGGTGCAGCGGGAGGAGACAGGTGAGAGGGAGGGTGCCAGCTCCCACGAGGAACGCCCCCGCCCGGGCTCTGGGAGGGGTGAGGGTGCAGGGCGAGAAGGATGAGCCTTGCTTGACCTGTCTTTCTTTCCTTCCCGCACAGAAGTGTTAGAGGGTGAGTATGGGCGGGATCCTGTCCCCGGCCTGCTGGGAGGGGAAGGAGCGAGGGTGTGGGCCTGATGTCTTGGCCTTGCCTGACTCCCCAGCCTCCCTGTGCAGCTTGAGGATTGAGATGGAGCGTGTCCTGGAGGAACAGAGCAAGGTGAGGCAGGACCCGGGTAAGGCCGGGGTGACGGGGGAGTCTGGCAGCGTGGACAAGACCCTCACCGGTCCCTGCTGCCCTTTATGTCTCCCTCAGGCCAAGCGGCAGGAGGTCCTCAGGCCGCCACAGGGCTCGGGCCGCACAGAAGAGGTTAGGATCGGGGTGGTACTGAAGGGGTAACCCCATCCAGACTTCCCATCCAAGACCCCAGCTCTATGTCCTGTGCCCCCCAGGCCCAGCTCACAGACCTGCTCTCGGAGCAGCGGGCAAAGATGCTGCGGCTGCAGGTGGAGTTGGAGACCAGTGAGCAGGTGCAGCGGGATTTCGTACGACTGTCCCAGGCCCTGCAGGTACAGTGTGTCCCTTCCCCACCGGGCTGGCGTGGCTCCCGGCGACTTGTCCTAGGTCTCACAAGGACAGGCCCCCAGCTAGAGGAGTATTCTTCCTCCCCCTGGGGCTGGCACGGTCCTTTCCTCTGAGCTGTTGCTCAAAAAACACTGGCGATCTTGTGTGTCTGTGTTTCTCGGTCACGCGAAGCCTGTGGCCCGGGGCCTGGCATGTGGGCATGCCGCGTGCTCATCACGTCAGTCCCGCCTGCCCCTGCCCGCCCCTCCTCGGCCTGCTGTCTGAGGACCCACTTCTTCCGTTGAAGCCAGTTTCACTGTGGGTTGGGGGAGGAGGAGTCCTGAGCCCTTGCCCCTTGTGGGATGGGGGGCAGCTGGCCAGCGGGGTGGAGGCTGCATTTTCCCACGGAGGGCCCTCTGCCTCCTGCACCTTCCCCACAGGTGCGCCTGGAACGGATCCGCCAGGCAGAGAGCCTGGAGCAGGTGCGCGGCATCATAGATGAGGCGCCCCTTCGGGACGTCAGGGACATCAAGGACACCTGAGGGGCCGGTGCCTACCCACCCTGGGGGAGACCGCCCTTCTCCCCTCCTGAACTGTGAGGCTGAGGCTCGGGGGGGTGGTGGTCTCAGGATGGAGTCGTCACCCTCTCCAAGGCCGGGGTTGAGGTGACGGGGCCACCACTGCCCCGTCCCCTGCAGCGCTCCTCCCACGGAGGCTGGGCCTTCTGCTTCCAAAGATAACACCCGGGCGAGGGTCCCAGGCCCCTCCATGAGCCAGTGGGGCGGCTCAGCCCTGTGGCTTTCTGGCTGCCATGCTGCCTCCTGGGTTCCAACCCTCCTGCCCCCGCCGCCACCCAGACTAACAGCCACACCCGTCACCTCGCATCCCCTTCCCCCAGGGACGGCTGCGAGTGGTGGCTGGGATCCTTGGGGGTACGTCACCAGGCCCCTCCGCACTTGCACCCTGGGCCAGGTGGCTGCTTCCTGGACTGCGTTGACACTAAGATGCTTGTCCCCAAGGGCCCGAGCCAGGCCCCAAGATGTGTGCACGGAGACAAGGCCAGATTTTTCTGTCATTTATTTTCAATAAATAAGCAGCTCAGCTCAATCAGTCGCCTTGTCCCTGCGAGCCCCACGGGGTCGGGGAGGGGAGGTTTCACAAGGGCAAAAGGGGGACAGGTTGCTGAGGGGGGAGGAGAAATGAAGGGGACATTGTGTTTATAAACAAGAATGTCGGGGCGGGAGGAGTAGGGAACGTTGTGGGGGGTGGGGGGGCCTGTGCCACAGCTCTGGCCGAAGATGCGTCACTATGGGGTGGGGAGGGAGGGCAAAAGGCCTGGTTGCTTCCTTCTTTCATCTTCTGGATCTGGAAGGGGAAAGGGAAGGATGAGACTTTCTCATCTTAGGGGGCATGGGGCAGGACCCGAGAAGAACAGTCCCTCCCGGCTCCCTGCCTGTCCCCTGGCACACTCACCTAGAGGGCCTCCCCACCCCCCACTCTCCTGTGTCCAGCCCCCCTCCTCCCAACCACTGCAGCCCCAGCGGCAGACAGCTCAGCGCCCAGCCAGCGCAACGCAGCGCAGCCCAGCAGACAGTGGTGCCCGACACCCGGCCCCACTCGGAAGCACGGCAGTGGCGGCGGCAGTGGCTCTAGGCGGAGCTGCGAGGACAAGTGACCTCGGCGCCACCTGAAGGGAGAGGGGCGGGCAAGGGGCACAGCAGCTGGGGCGAGGGCAGGAAGAGGGGTGATACCTGTGACACGGTTCAAAGAGATGGAGGAGGGGGAAACGGATTATCCTATGGCCAGAGAGGACAGAGAGACACCGTTATCCAGGGAGGGAGGCAGGCACAGGGGCCAGGAGAGCTGGGGAGGTTGTGGGGGTGCCTAGGAGACCATGTCTGCATGGGGCTCAGAAGGGCAAGCGGGCAGAAAGGAGGGAAGGGGCCGGGTGGGCCGCTCGGCGAAGGGCACGGGCCCGGCAGACCCGGGAACTCACCCACCTGAAAAGGAAGGGGGGGGGCAGGCGCCTTCGCAGCGCGGAGGGAGGGGGCTGTGCCAGGGCTTAGGGGGGCAGATGGGGCTCCGAGGCGGGGAGCCTCTTACCCTCCAGGTAGTTCCGAGCAACGAACTTGAGGATTTCATCGAGCCCAATGACTGGTAACGAGATCTTGAAGACCATGAGCCAATGGTACAGGTCCAGGGCTTGGAGCTTGAAGATCATCTGAGTGAGGGGGCAGGGGGGAGGCAGGAACGGCAGTGAGAAGGAGCCAGCAGAGCCGCCACTGCACCAGCCTGACCATCCCTCCCTCTGGACCCCTGCAGAGGCCCCCGTGCGTGGGAGGCAGGCGGCCCCTGGCCAGAAGAAGGCTTACCGGCAGAGGGTCCACGTAGAGGATGAGGAAATGGAGGGACATGGAGAGGCAGATGGAACCCACCAGCCAGATGTTCACCCAGGGCGGCATCCGCATGAGGGACTGATTCTCAGACAGGCTGCAAGGGGGCGGCGGGTAGAGCCAGGGTGGGGGGCGCACAGGGGAGAGAAGTGATGAGCAGGAGGGCCGGAGGACAAAGGCGGTGGTCTCCAGACAGGCAGGGGGAGGGGGCGTGGGCCCACCTGTTGAGAGCATTGCACATCTCGATGGTAACCAGCACAGATAAGGCCATGGTCATGGGCTCGGGGGCCTCGAAGACCTCACAGTCCACACCCTCGAAGTCGGGGTTGTGCTCCGAGCACTTCATGAAGTGGGTCTGCCGGGGGTGAGGGGAGAAGCTGGGATCCCCCAGAAGTCTCCATGTCACCCTCCTTCACTGCCCCCTCCTCACGCCTCAGTCCTGCCTACCAGCTGGTTGTAGGTGACGTGAGGCCCGTCCTCGGCATACAGGAACCACCAGGCCGCTGCTCCCACGGTGGCTGCACCCACGTAGCCTATGGGGGAGAGGAGATGGGAGTTGGGGGGGCCAGGGCTGGAGAGATAGGAGGGCTTGAGAAGGCCTGGGGGCCATGAACAGTGGTGGAGGCAGAGGGCCCGCCAGCCAGGGTGGCTGCCATGGGGAAGTGGAGAGTGGGGAAGAAGCTTGGGGTTCCATCCTGCTCACCCCCAATTGCCATGTAGCGGAAGAAGAGCCAGCCACTGATGAGGGGCTCCTTGGGGGTCCGGGGGGGCCGGTCCATGATGTCCAGGTCTGGGGGGTTGAAGCCTAGGGCTGTGGCTGGGAGCCCGTCTGTCACCAGGTTCACCCACAGCAGCTGCACGGGGATCAGGGCCTCAGGCAGCCCCAGGGCAGCTGTCAGGAAGATGCTGCCAGAAGGAGGCGGTCACAGGTCTGTCCTGCCTCCCAGGCCTGTGGTCACCCCGTCCCCCACACCAGCCCCAGGTTCCCCGCAGATCGCCCTTCCTGCTGCTCACCAGACCACCTCGCCCACGTTGGAGGAGATGAGGTAGCGGATAAACTGCTTCATGTTGTTGTAGATGGCGCGGCCCTCCTCCACGGCAGCCACAATGGTGGAGAAGTTGTCATCAGCCAGCACCATCTCGGAGGCCGTCTTGGCCACGGCAGTGCCAGATCCCATGGCAATGCCGATCTCTGCCTTCTTCAGCGCAGGGGCGTCATTGACGCCGTCACCTGTCTTCAGGAAGAGAGAGAAGGTGGGAGCTGACCCCTTCCTCATACCCTCCTTGACACTTCCATCCGGGCCCGAATTCCTCCCCTCTGCGCATCTCACCAGGGCCCCTGCTCAGCCATGTCCTCCCTGGGCCCCCAGCTTCCCAAGCGCAACATCTCAATAGCCACGGAGCAGACCCCGCATGCCCCGGTCCCCGCACCATCGCCGTGATCTCATCGTAGGACTGCAGATACTCCACGATCTTCGACTTGTGGGAGGGCTCCACGCGGGCAAAGCAGCAGGCGCGTCGGCAGGCCTCCCGCTGGTCGGCCAGGGGCAGGTCATCGAACTCCCGGCCAGTGTAGGCCCGGTCAGCCACATCCTCGTTCTCCCCAAAGATGCCAATCCGTCGGCAGATGGCAATGGCCGTGCCCTTGTTGTCCCCAGTGATCATGATTACTCGGATTCCGGCATCTCGGCATAGTTGGATGGAGCCCATGACCTCCTTGCGGGGTGGGTCCAGCATGCCCACCACGCCAACGAACGTCAAGTCCGTCTAGGGGGGCAGAGCAGAGAGCGACAGGCTCAGGGGAGGAGGCTCGGCGGGGTCAGGAGAGCTGTGTCTACGCCTGGTGCTCAGACCTCAGCCAGGGCTCTAAGCACAGGGGCAGGAAACGTTCCTTGTTCCCATGAGGGCCTGCGGGCCTGGTGACGCCAGGCCCATCCTTGGTGGCAGATCCTGTCTTTCATAGAAAGAACACAACCTGGACGTGAGGTAGGTGCTTTCTGCTTCCAGCAGGGCCACTTGCTTGGTCTCCAGCTTTGAGTATTACCTGCCAGGCCACACCGTTCTTTCTATAAAATGGAGTGGACTTCTGCACTACTCAGAGCAGGTCCACGAGATAAAGAGCCAGTGCCAGAATACAGGTGGGTGCACCTCTTAAGAAAACCTCACTGTGGGACTTCCCTGGCAGTCCAGTGCCTAAGACTTTGCCTTCCAATGCAGATGGTGTGGGTTCGATCCCTGGTCAGGGAGCAAAATCCCACGTGCCTCGGGGCCCAAAAAAATCCCAAAACATAAAACAGAAGTAATATCATAACAAATTCAACAAAGACAAAAAACCTCCCCCACAAAACCTCACTGTGGAAACACCCAAGCTGAACCCAAGCCGGCTGGCTTCTGTTCTGGAACAAGTGCCTCACCCTCATATCAGATGAGTCCACGGACCACAGGCCAAGCGGCCTGGACTGGAAGACTCCTAAGATTCTTTCAAACTCTGACGTCCTGTGACTCCAGGCCCCGTGACGAGGGGGCACGTGACGGGTGGCAGAAGGGGTGAGGCAGGTGACTCACCTCGTACTCCATGAACTTGGTAGAGTCATCCAGGACCATCTCCTCTCGCTTGGGGGGGGTGTCTCGGGTGGCCAGCGCCAGGCAGCGCAGGGTGTCCCGGCCAGTACCCCACTCCTTGATCACCGACAGAATCTTCTCCTTCACCGGCCCTGTCATGGGCACCCGGGTGGTGCCAACTCGCACGTAGTTACAGCGATCGATGACCCCCTCGGGGGCACCCTAGTGGAGCAGAACAACACTCAGACCGCTGTTCTTTCCAGCGCACGGTGAGGCAGCATGGGCAAAGAGAGGGGCTCAGGATTAGGAAGAAGGGGGTCCAAGGCACACGCGGAAAGTCCTGACCTTGACAAACATCTTATTGCCCACAGCAGCCCGGGATTTCGCTGGAGAGCAATAGACAGACATGGACTTTCTGTCCCGGGAGAACTCCAGGGTGAATTCCTTCTTCATTAGCTGGCGGATCACCTGGGAGAGAGGAGACAGGGAGGGAGAGGCCAGGCTTGAGACTGACGGGGAAAGAGCGATGATGCTGTGCTAGAAGGGAAGAGTCCCAGACCCCTAAAAGCATAGCCAAAAAAGATCTG